AACGGTTGCCCATATCGTAAGTCATTTCTTCTCCTGGTCATTATTTCCTGTTACTGGCAGCATAGGGCATTGACTTGGACCTCTGTATTAGTTTGAGTACACAACTCAATTATCAGTCACCCCGACGCAGCAACTAATCCGACCTTTGGGTGACGATCCAACAAATCTACCACCAGTTCAAATGATGTTCTGTCTCAAACAGAAGAACAGCAAGAAAATAAACTCACACCGCTGGCTCTTTAACGCATTCGGACGAATCCTGAACCCTGAGATATGTATCTTGATCGACGCCGGCACCAAACCTGGTCACAAGTCTCTTCTAGAATTATGGGAAACATTCTATAATGACAGACATCTCGGCGGCGCATGCGGCGAGATTCACGCCCTTCTCGGTCGTGGATGGAGAAACGTTCTCAATCCCCTGGTAGCAGCCCAAAATTTCGAATACAAAATTTCCAACATTCTCGACAAACCACTGGAAAGCAGTTTCGGCTATGTGAGCGTTCTACCAGGGGCCTTCTCCGCATATCGATATCGGGCTATCGTCGGCCGACCACTGGAACAGTACTTTCACGGTGATCATACGCTCTCTGAAAGACTTGGCAAGAAAGGAATTGAGGGAATGAATATCTTCAAAAAGAACATGTTTCTAGCAGAAGATCGGATTTTATGCTTTGAGTTGGTTGCTAAAGCAGGGTGTCAATGGAAACTCACTTACGTTAAGGCTTCAAAGGGAGAAACGGACGTCCCCGAGGGTCCAGCAGAGTTCCTCAGCCAACGGCGACGCTGGTTAAATGGCTCTTTCGCAGCGAGTCTCTATGCGACTATGCATTTTAACCGTATATATAGAAGTGGGCACAGTTACATTCGCTTGTTGGCTTTCCATGTGCAGCTGATTTACAATATCTGTCAGCTTGTTATGACGTGGTTCTCTTTAGGTATGCTCTCGGGATTTCTTTGATGTTTATTTCGCCCAGGTCAACGTTGATCAATCACAGTGTACTTATTCTCGAATAGCATCATACTGGCTCACTAGCTCTGTCATCATGGACATCGTCGGGACACCAAGTGCAGTCAACCACAATAAAAGTTGGCCATTCGGAGCAGATATCACTCCTATCTTGAATAACACGTTCAAGATAGGGTACCTGGTATTTCTCATGCTCCAGTTTATTCTGGCACTGGGAAACAGACCGAAGGGGTAAGCCTTACATTTTGGAGATACATATGGATATCTTATTTTTGAGCCAAGGCTGACTTCCCAAAGGACAAAACTGTACTACACTCTTTCCCTGATCTACTTTTCTTTAGTTCAGGCCTATATTCTTGTCCTATCCTTCTACTTGGTTGCGCAAGCACTCACAGGCGATAATCTGAAGTTCAACTTCTCCAACGGCGTCGGTGTATTCCTGACATCGTTCATTAACTCCACCGGTGGCCTTGTCTTGGTCGCACTGATATCCACCTATGGGATCTACTTGATAGCTTCCATTCTCTACCTCGATCCCTGGCACATGCTCACTTCGTCATGGGCATATTTTCTCGGCATGCCATCTTCGATCAATATACTGATGGTTTATGCATTCTGCAATTGGCATGATGTATCCTGGGCACGAAGGGTTCTGATAAGGCTGATGAACTACCATCAGCGCAGACGAAATCCGATGCACAGACGGCATTCGTCGAGGAGATTGACATGCCACAAGCTGATATTGATGTTCAATTTGAGCAAACGGTCAAGCGGGCTTTGGCACCGTGGCAAGAGCCAGAAGAAAAGGCCGAGGTCAATCTAGATGACTCTTATAAGTCCTTCCGGACGAATTTGGTGTTGTTGTGGACATTCAGCAACGGTCTTTTGGCATTGTGCATTAACAATGAAGGGTTCAAACAACTTTGCTTATCGGTACGTTAAATCGAAGAATTGGTTGGAAACCACCGAGCAGAAGAATGGCAGCTAATAATAGTAGACGACTTCGACGCTGCGCACTGCGTGGTATTTCAAGGTTATTCTCTGGGTACGTCGGGTCTTTCTATCTTTCGATTTTTCGGGGCACTCTGGTTTCTCGCGAAGACGAATGTGCTTTGCTGCTTCTACAGGCGTTGAAGACTGCTTTCCCTTTCAAATCGCGATATTACTGCTGTGGCAGTGGTTGGGGAGAAGGTGTAAATAATACTATATCTGGAGGACCATTTGTGTTTGTATAATGTTTTGAAATTTTGCCCAGAGATAGAGAATTTTCAGAATGGAATCTTGACTAGTCCCTCATTTCGATATGGGCCAACTTCTCACCACTCATCTACTGGCTCTTCTGCCACGCTGCATGTTTCCGGTACACATCACGACGGAAAACCTGCTTCAGGGTAGCTCCAACCTCCATGTCCAATGGTACCTTAGCCATAGGAGCACCAACACCACACAGCCCATTCTTACGATCAATAAACCAAGCAAGCGTCATCCCCCCACCCCAAGTCAAAGTTCGATCGCCATACCAACCATCCACATCTTCCAGAGTAAGTAAACCACCAAGACCAAATCCGCACCTTGTCTCAAGATCCACGCCAACACGGAAGAATTGACCGGCCGGAGATGCCAACGCCGCCTGGTGACTCTCCGTTGCTTCAGGGCCAAGTCTATGCTGAAACATCTCATCAACAGTCCCAGGCTCGAGTAATGTCCCATCATTAACCAGGACAGCGTGAAGAATTTTCGCAAAACTCGCAGCAGACATGAAAAGCCCATGACCGCCAAAATCTCCGCGGCCATGCGCGTTCATATCCCCGATACCAACAACCGCACGCCCAAGAGCATCAGGATCATCCGGATTCAAGTCAACAAGGCGTTCACGCAGATCGTCCCGTGATACGGGATAAAATTGCGCGTCGTGGATATCTAATGGATCAAAGATGCGCTTCTGCATTCTCTCTCCTAGACTGAGACCCGTCACGCGCTCGACAATTCTCCCCGCCCAGTCCAGACCAGGTCCATACATCCACCCTTTACCGGGCTGGAAGGTAAGCGGGTAGCAGAAAGTTTCCTCGACGTTCCGCTTCTGGCCTTCGTGCAGGGTTGGTTCGACGAATTTCTCACGCCACTGTGCGATCAGCGGGTTCAGGAAATAGTAATTTAAACCGTCGCTGTGCGTGAGGAGCATTTCCAGCGTGACGGGGCCATTGGCAGGTTCCAGGAGCGGGGTTTCGCCGTCTTCAGAAAACCCCGTGAGAACTTGTTTATTTGTCAGTTCTGGGGCGATGGTGGAGAGATCACCCGTAAGGCTGAGCAGGCCGTCATCGACGCATTGTAGGGCGGCGATGGCGGTGACTATCTTGGTGGCGGAGGCGAGGTAGATGACATCGTCTAGTTGCTGCGGGCGCTTTTCACCAGAGAGCAGAGTTCGCTCGCCAAAGGCTTGATTATAGGTGAAGTTGCCATCAGTGTCGGTTGCGCAGATGACACCGCCGTTGATCTGGCCTGCGTCGATGGCGGCTTGGAAGCTGGATTCGATGTCGTCGGGCATTGGAGAACTTGAGGTTCTCTCTTTGAGACTCTTTGAGATTTCCTCGTTGATGGTTCCCTGGTTGTGTTATCGAAATGGTGGAGGCTTGTTGAAGCTTAAATGATCGCCAAATCTCACTGAGAGACTACGTAGCACTCGTATAAATAGCAGACGCGGGGTTCGGGATTCGGGATACGGAATGGGCTCAGAAGCCGGTAGCCGCTTGGATGCGACACAGGCGCGTCTAAGTTGATCTGAGTGGGCATTCGGATATAGGTAGTATTTTCAAGGTTGTGAGTCAACAACCAACAACTCAGTGGGACGAGCAGAATATGGAGATATGTAGGGTTTCGGGCTACGGAATGGATTCAGAAGCCGGGAAGCGTCTGTATAATACATTTAGGATCAGGCGCCCTCAGACTAAGGGGCCATTTGAGGTATTCTTGAGTTCACCAACCCAAGCCCTTGAGGAACTTTGTTGCGTGTACTTCTGAGGTGGCTGGTTTTGAAATGAAGCAATAAGATTTGGACTGTATAACCTTTGGATTCTACGATGCAATTCGCAGTTGACTGTGGTCAGTTGGTTAGTCGTGGAAGAACGAAGATGGAACAGCTTGTATGAGGACATGGCCCAAATGGAGGAAAGTAGAGCTCAAGATACTAGGTAGTATCCGGAGAAACAAGTAAATATAGGGAGCAGATCGAGTTGTCGATCTACTCGTACAGAATCGATCCAACGGGATGCGCAAGCCTGGTGGAGCCAGCGAGCGGTCCAGACTGCTCGATCCCTGCATATCTCTGCAAGCTTGCTCGCAGATGAGATGATGACCAAATGAGATGGATTCGACAGGTCAGAGATCGAGAGTACTCAATGCCAGATCCGATGCTCCTTGTGGCGAGGCCCAGTGCCAGTCTCGGAATGGAATGGAATGTTTGGGGGGTTGGACTGGAGGGTCCGCTATTGTTTCAGAAGGCTGCCGGTCAGTACCGGCCACACTCGCATGTCACCATAAGCGACGGGGCAAGGCTGGGAATCAACACAGTCAGGGCCATCAAGAGATACTCCGTGGAGCATTGTAATGGTTACACCAATATAACACCATCTCAGACTCGTATTGCTCCAGTCATGACTGTGGCTGGTTTTTTGGGGGCCGAGTTTATTAATCACAGCCACCACATTCCACCCGGGGCCCCCAGCCTCAGCCACTGGATGTTTCGCGCCTTACACCCAACAGGGTCCAAATTCCCTCATGAGGAGGGTGATCCGAGTTATTGTGTGTGGCTTGGTAGACGAGAGTGACAGGGCGCCGCGGTTTCGTAATAATTGAACCGTCGGAGCAGTTGGGGGGGAGGACGGGATGACGGGGGGACAAGGGAAGGCTGAGCAGGCAGCCACTCTAAAGGATGGAGACAAGAGTGACGCTAGTGAGAGAGTGGGTCGACAGTGGAAGTCCCTGTGAGTACTCTGTGTGTGTGAGAGAGGGTGTGTGTAAGTGTGAGTCTAGAATGCCCATCGAAGGCGGGTGCGTGGCTGCCAAGTCTGAGACCCGTGGAATACCTCGAACCCCAGAAATGCGCCCCTGATTGTTTTTTTTCTCTTTTACTCTACTCGACTCTTCTACTCTTCATCATCTCCTCTCCACTCTGTTCACTCCGTCCACTCGTTTTCTGCTAAGTTGGGGTTGATCGTGCTTCCAATCTAGTCACGCCAATTCCCGTGCTGAGAAAAAATTACGAGGCTCTAACGGCCCCCTCTCCCCCGTTTCGCTCGTTCAACGGTAACCCACACTGGACTCGACGACTCGATTCGACTCAACCCGACCAACCCGACTGCTATTCTCACCTTCGATGTACCTGGAAAATTCCCCTCGAGTCTAATAACCCGCGAGCATTTCGCTCAGCTCAGCTCAGCTCAACTCAAACTGCACCGGTTCCCGCAGAAACACGCCAAGCCGGACACACGAGCCTTTCCTCGGTGTTTCAAAGCGCCCACGTATCAGAGACAAGCACAAGACAAGACAGCCCTTCGTGCCACCTGACACCGTCTTTCTTCCTCCCTTATCATTCAAAACCACCACCTCCCCGGTGGTCAATACCGTCATTGTGCCTTACCCCAACAACTCTGCGGAGGAATCCGCCTCAGGTCCTTTTGCCAAGATTTCTTCGCGAGAATCGCACGCCTCCCTCATGGGTCCTGCTGGCTTCGACCCCACGTATTACCCGGAATCCGAGCGATTTCGCGCTCGCGAGACCTACTCTAATGCGAATCCCGCCCCTGTTGCGCCGAAAAGATTTTATATTCCCAATACCCGATGGACCTGGGTCTTTGCGATCGTGACGCTCGTTCAAACGCTCGTGACACTCGCTCTCGAATGGTAAGTACTATGGCGAGAACCCGAGACACCACTTGCTGTCAGACTCCCGAGGAGGCTAACAATCTCTTTTTTTCCTTCTCTAGTTATGTATTTGCCAACTTTCAAATCCAAGAAAAGCCAAACGACATTCCCGCCTCCAGAACAATCCCCACCTTCCTCGCCCTTTACAGTTTCGGTTTCATTTACGAGCTCGTGCTGGTCTATGATGCATTACGCATGAAGAACACCATTCAGATCATCGGTCTTTGCATGTGTAACGTGGGACTGCTGATCTATGGAGCGGTCCAGGTTAAACAGATCAACACCGCAGTCGACGAGCTCAACGACCAAGATTTTATCAAGCCCGAGGTTTGGGGGCAATCGAAGCCATTCTTGATCGTCATTCCCTGTCTCGTGGGAATCGGGAGCGTTCTGATGACCTTCGTCGCTTGGAAGCTCTATGATGAGTTCGCTTGGACAATCTACAAACATATCAGTGCCGATCTTCGCATGAAGCGTCGGTATCTGACCTACCAGGTCAGACCCGTCACCTCTCACCACCCTACGATCGCTTACTGACTTGCTTGTATTCTAGATCTATATTGCGCTGCTGAAGTTTGATTTCTTCTTCTTCCTCGGCTTTACTATTCAGTTTTTGGTCATTGTCTCGTCCAATAAGCATGATGCGGAGTTTTATCTCACCATCATCGCCGTTCCGGTGACAATTATTATCCTGGCCTTTGGCGCCTTCTTTGTCCGCCGGGAATCCACTACAGGAATGATTGCTATCATCGTAAGTCCATCGAGTTTCTCTTGGGGGAATATATACTCTATTGGATAGCCTGCTCACCACCCATTTCCAGCTCCTCTTCTTTGCGGCTATGGCATACTTCATCTTCAAGCTGTTCCGTATGTACGCGCAAGCAACTGCCCACCTGTACATCGCCGCTCGGCCATCGATGACCTTCTTCGCCATCATCACCCTGATCCTCATCGTGATTACCATTACCAACGCGTGCATGTGCGTCAACAACTTCCACCACGGCCTCAAGCCCCACATCCAAAATAAGAAGGTACGGGCCGAGGAGAAGTCGACCGAGCTCTCCAATGTCGAGGGCCAGGTCCCCTCCCGAATGATGATCGATTGATTGTGTTCCAATAAATGGTATAGTGTATTTCATAGTGATCTCTTCCGGCGTTTGGACCTGGAGTAGTACCCCTACTTTCTGATGTTTTCCTTTTCCTTTTGTGATTCCTGACCACCCCGTTATTTAAGCCTGATCTCTGCGTTCCTGATTTGGACCCTCCACCATGATACCTCACCTGCGAAAACTGTGGTCTCTTCCTGTTTTTTCCCCATCCAACGTTTCCACCGATGATGCCGGGTGCAAAATTCCTGTGATTTTTTTCCCTATCTGCTTTCCCCCCTTTCCTTCATATATCCCTCATGAAAGCACCGGTGGCGTTTATTTCGTTTATTTCGTTTATTTTTGACGATGATTCCCGGGGTGTTCTGTTTTTAAGGTCCCCATGTCACTTACGATAGTGCAATGTCAATTGGCAATACCAATGATCACCGCTTAGTCCTAGATCTAAGAATCAATTTTGAATAACCTCAATATGACCTACTAGGCTACTCCGTGTAATTGAATACGCCGACTGCTGATAGATCTCGGTAGCGATGCTTCTACTACAGTAAAGTACTATGTAAATGGTGTCTCAAAGAGAGCCTTCTGATTGGTGGGTTTTCCGTAATCTATACGCAAAAATTACCGCCATACACACCCGGCCAAGCTCCCTGTAACCGTACCAGTACCGCCCCTCGTATCGAATCAGGAAAGCGCGATCGTGGCCTCATTGGAACTCCGCAAATCCTCTCCTTCCAGCCCTGATCTTCCCCCCCAACTTTCCTTCATTCACTCCTTTCCCTTCAACCCTCCACCTCAATTCACAATGGTAAGCGTCTTCAATCATTCAATTGCTCATCATAACCACATCTGCTTCTCTATCAATCTTCCCAACCCAACACCTCCTTTCCTTTCGATTCTAGCACCACCCACGACCCCCATGTCCAACCGTCCCCGTATTCCTGTCAAATCCATCTACAGTCCACTAACAAACGTTCCATAGGCCTCCCCCCGTCCTGCCTCTCCTCTGACCTCAGGTGCCGAGTCTGGCCCCGACTCCAAGTCCGCCGGCGCTGCTGTCGCCTCCGGCTCTGCCGTCGGCCGTCCTTCCTCGCCCACTCCCCCCGGCGGTCCTCGCGCTGCTATGCGCCGTCGTGCCGCCGCTGACCACAAGGAGTCTCTTCGCAATGTTCGCCCCAGCTCTACTCGCTCTGCTGGTGCCGGTGGTTCTTCGGGTACCATGCTGAAGCTCTACACTGATGAGAGCCCCGGTCTGCGGGTCGACCCCGTTGTTGTTCTGGTGCTGAGTCTGGGCTTCATCTTCTCGGTTGTTGGTCTGCACGGTACGTTCTTTCATTATATATCACCATTCGAAGCCCCTTCGAGATGATTTCCGTAATGGAATAATGGAGTTTGGATATCTGAGCTGCCGGGCGTGGTCCAATTCTGATCCTGATACTGATACTAATTTACGATATAAACAGTCATCGCCAAGGTTTCCCGCAAGTTCTCCGCATAAGCGATTCTCTCGATTCCATCTCAGCCCGTGCTTCGCACTTTGCAGTTAACAATCTGGCAATGTGTGGATGATCGGCCCGGGTTACGAGACGTCATCCCTCAATCCTCAATCCTTCTCCTATACCCCTATGAAATTTGATCCTGGTTCCGAATCTGAATTGCGGCCACGATCTTTCCCGGCTACTCCGTTTTTCTCGACATATGTGGTGTTTTTCCTTTTTTTCTCTTTAATAGTGGGTGCTGCGGAGTGCCCATGACCTATCCGCTGTATAGGTCGGTTTGGACCCCTTCCACGTGACCTTGACTCTCAACTGCATCGTTTGGTCTGCGACTTTTCGCGCTGAAATAGCCCTGGCGCTGGCCTGGTGTGGCTGGTAGTTTGGAGCGTGAAGGAGTCTGACGTGTGTGTACCATATCAACCGAATGTGTTTGCATCGAGTAATGGACTTGACGTTTCAAGTAACAATTTTGTTGCTGCCGTAGACTGTAGGGACTCCCTTGGGAGGCATCAAGGTTCCTAGTAGATGGTGTCCTGTCCGTGCAGTGCCTGCGGTTAATTGTAGGCGTTTTCATGTAGCAATGGGAAATCAGAGCATTATTGATCCTATGGAGCTCTAGTTGACAATTGGCCACTCAGTACCTCGTATCTGCAAGTTCCTTACCAATAATTGAATAGTGCTCGTACAGGCCCTAAAATTCCCGTCCAATTTTCTCAAAATAATGTAAACTCACATAATTTCTGCTGTCACTAGAGCTTAATCTCTCACCCGCACTTGTGACAGTGGGGCAGCCCTGCCAGGGTACTTCTACCAGCACATGGAAATCGTCAATGACCACAGAAATCGACTAAGCGGGGCCTATCGAACAATCAACAATTTATCAACGGATTCGCCCGATCGATTGACCTCCTATGTAGGTCAATGCTCATATTCTCGTGGTAAGCACCCCAGACTCCACTTTCGGAAACCCTTCTTATCACCACCCAACCTTGCACCAATCACAACCCCCAGAACTATTCCAGGATGGAGCCAAGAAAAGCGCAACTGATAAGCCTTGCACTCGTCGAATCGTCTAATTGCATCAGGACCCGCGATAGCCCAGTACTCCAATGGGAATTGCTCTACAAAGTAGGGGTTGTACATGGGCTTGTGGTTAGCATGAGAAAAGTATGATTGATCTCTGGGGAAATCATTCCGGGAGCCAAGCTACAAATCCGCCGTGGTTTAGTTTACCCACCGGCTTATTCCTGTCCCATTACGAGAGGAATGTACTTTGAAAGAGCCCTTATCTAGGTCCGGATAGCGGGTCCTAACGTACATTGGATCATGTCCCTATCTAAGCTCAGGCACTAGGATAGAGTAGTGGCTCGTCGTCGGCTGGGGTTAGGACGTGCGAATTCGGAGATTTGGGTCTTTCTGCGTGTCGGCGTGGTTGTTATAAAACATGTCTCCCCTTATCCCGAATGTCATGGTTCGCCAATTGAGTCTTTAACTTTATAATAGGGCTAGAACTTCCAAATCCGGCTCATACTTGGATTGTTTGATCGATTTGCTCGTCTTCTGCATATTCATCCCTTGCATCTTTCTTTTCATCTTTTTTTAAGCTTTCCGACTTATATACCCTTGATTTCACCATATTGATCTCGAACTTGATATATTGGGTCTGGGTTTAAAATGGCTGTCGCTTTCACAGCGCCTTTATCCCAGGGCTTTGGGTATGGCATTATCCTTGGATTGGGATTTGCTTTTGCCCTGGTGATGATCTTTATTACATGGGCATTGAAACGGTAAGCTTTTCAACTCTGTAATGATTTATCTTCGAATTAAATCCAGTATCTAACATATGTTCACTCTAGGTATCAACATGAAGTTCAAACCTCCGAGATGTTCTCGACAGCTGGTCGTTCCGTCAAATCCGGTCTCGTCGCTGCTGCCGTCGTTAGTAGCTGGACATGGGCGGCGACTCTGCTGCAGTCGTCAGCAGTCGCGTATAAATATGGAATTTCGGGTCCTTTCTTCTATGCTTCGGGTGAGTGCTTGCGTCTATAGCACAATGCCTTGATGACATAGTGCTAATATAGTATACAGGCGCAACCGTGCAAATCCTCCTTTTCGCGACCATTGCTATCGAGCTCAAACGACGAGCACCGAACGCGCACACCTTCCTCGAAGTGATCCGGGCTCGCTACGGCACAGTCGTCCATGTCGTTTTCATCATTTTCTGCCTCATGACAAACATCCTCGTCACGGCCATGCTATTGACTGGTGGTTCTGCAGTCATGACCTCCCTCACTGGGGTTCACACTGCGGCGGCTTGTTTCCTACTTCCCATAGGTGTGGTGCTGTATACTCTCTTCGGCGGTATCAAAGCTACCTTCATCACGGACTACATGCACACTGTGGTTATCTTGGTGGTCATTTTCCTCTTTGCGTTTTCAGCATATGCAACTAATGCCGAGCTTGGTTCGCCGGGCAAGGTCTATGATGCCCTTGTTGCAGCTGCAAAGAGGCACCCTGTCGAGGGAAATGCGGAGGGAAGCTATGTCACCATGCGCTCGAAGGAGGGTGGCATTTTCTGGATCATCAACCTGATTGGCAACTTTGGGTTCGTCCAGTTTCTTTATCCAACCTCATCACCCTGGATCATATAAGCTAATATCTACTAGAACTGTTTTCCTCGACAACGGCTACTACAACAAAGCTATCGCCGCAAGCCCCGTGCACGCTTTCCCCGGATATGTCATCGGAGGCCTTTGCTGGTTCGCCATTCCCTGGCTCTGCGCCAGCACAATGGGTATCTCGGCGCTAGCATTGGAAGGCACAAATAGAATGAGCGACAGCGATGTCACAGCCGGACTAGTCCTACCCTTCGCCGCAGTCAAACTTCTCGGATACAGCGGTGCAGTGGCCACCACATTGATGATATTCATGGCTGTGACTTCCGCCTTCTCGGCACAGCTAATTGCCGTTTCGTCCATTTTCACCTACGATATCTGGCAGGCGTATATTGAGCCATCTGCCAAGGGCAAGAAGCTTGTCTGGGTTTCGCATATGTCTTGTATCGTCTACTCGATCATCATGGCTGGCTTTGCCACGGGGCTTTACTACGCTGGTATTGGTATGGGGTATTTGTATTTGCTTATGGGCGTCATTATTTCCTCTGCTGTCTTTCCCGGCGCAATGACTCTTCTCTGGAAGGGCCAGAATTGGATTGCTGCAGCTGCTTCCCCACCACTTGGCCTAGCTGTGTCTCTTATCGCATGGCTCGTGGTTGCAAAGAAGGAATCTGGTATTTTAACCGTGGACACTACAGGTGCAAAGTAAGTTCTCTTCCAAAATTCTCTCACCTGGCTATATCGGATGCAGTCCACTAACCGAATTCTTTTAGCTATCCCATGCTAGCAGGAAACGTGGCTGCCCTACTCAGTCCAATGATCTTCTCCCCACTCTTCACATTCATCTTCGGCTCCCAGAACTACGACTACGAGTCCATGCGCGCAATCCGCAAAGTCGACGACTCCGAAGTCGCAGCCGCAGCACACATCGACCTAGAGCTCGTCCCCGGTGAAGGAAACGACTCCTCCGCCGCACAAGCAGAAGAAGAAGAGCGTAAGCTCAACCGTGCCGCACTATACTCGCGTACACTTACCGTCTTCATGGCCTTTGCCTTTCTCATCCTCTGGCCGATCCCAATGTACGGAAGCTCTTACGTCTTCAGCAAGAAGTTTTTCACAGGCTGGGTTGTTGTTGGTATTATCTGGCTCTTCTGCACATTGTTTGGCGTTGTTGTTTTCCCGCTGTATGAGGGCCGTGAGAGCATTATTCGTGTATCGCGAATGATGTTCCTTGATCTTATGGGTCGGAAGCCGGCTGTTTGGCGTGGCAAGGAGGATTCATCACATCCTTCTGGCGTTGTGACGCCGACGGAGGTTGGAGATGAGAAGAGTAAGGACGCAGAGGATGTGAAGTCTTCTCTTTAGGATATGGGATGATGGTACGATAGGTTTATGATTGCCGGTCGATCTTTGCGCTTTACTTTTTATACCCTAGCTTGTTTTGGTTTACTTTTTAATAATATTTTTGAATGTGAAGTGCTTCCCCTTTGGATTTCTAAAAGAAAAGGTGTTACAGGTATGCGAGCGACTTAAAAGGACCATTCATCGATAGCAGAGGAAAACAGAAAAAGAAAGTAACTAGTAACCCGACGCCGGAACTTGAACAACTTGAACTTGCCGAGATCGGGCTTTAGGACGTATCACACTCTCATTGAGCCTTCGATTTTGGCGAAACAAACGACTGGAAAAAAGTACTGTGATTGCTCGGATTTCCTCGAAAGACCTTGGAGACCTATTTGTAGTCCTGTTGCTGTTGCTGTTGCTGTTGCGGTGGCGGTTGTTGTTGGTACCCGCCATACGCTTGAGGGGGTGGCTGAGGACCCCATGCCATCTGAGGTGGTGGTCGTGTTTCAGGAGTGATATCAGGCCGATCCCTGAATAATACTGGTTTAGATCCGCATTGCCTAGCTAGTGAAAATGATGTGACATACCGAAGATCTTGGCTCACGCGACAGGTGTAGCATAAAACCTCCTAAATTAAATGTTAGCTCCAATGACATTGATTGAGAATCGATCTTTTTTAGAGGTCCTAGTATTTACCTTGTACTTGTGGGTTGAGAGCGGGATCAGAGGCTGTGTCATGGTGATGTTAGTCATCTCGTCATATCCCCCGCTGCACAGGACAACACAGCAACAATCAGAGAAGGCGTACAATGAAGCAAATGGTGAAGAATGGCCTAGAAATAACCGTTAGATTGTAAATTCCAGCATCTTGCCAAATCCGGTACATACCATCTAGTCACACAATGGCCGTTCCAGTGTTGGCCTAACAATGGTGGATATGCATTAGTGTGACGTCCCCTAGGGAGGAAAGTCGCCAGTAATGAGGAATATAACGAAAGGTCACTTACAGTTGTAGCAGTAAGCGCGTACCTGCTCGTAGCCTTCGAGCATGCCCGTGAACTCTGTGGCTTGAATCAATATCCGAGGTATACTACTAAGCAGGGTGGAGATGTCCACAAGGTAAACACCTGAAGAACGGTGCCAGGAACAGGTCCCCACTCTCGTGTTCGGAAGCTCCATGTGGACAATCGGACATGGTCACATACCATGAGTTCCAAACGTGATACAGAATGCCATGATGATTGATGAAAGTTAGAGAGGGAATGGTGTTCAATGGATTGAAGGCAGCGGCATTTGGGGAGGCGCTGGCTGTGGCTTGGCTGCTTGGCGGCACGTGAGGTCCATGTGATCCAGCATGTACGGGTACTACAACAACTCAAACAGATTCTCAGACCTCACCAATTGAAGCTCTATGTAGCAGATAATAATGAAATCCCGGAAATATTCGATACTGATTTATGACAGTATGTACAGAATGCCGCAACTCTCTCGCAAAGAAAGCGCTTGTTGAAAATCAAGAGAAGAACCAAGGTTATGAGGCATAGATAAAAAGGATCGCTAGAAATGGTATTTTGCGAGGTTTCTCTCGGGATCTCCCCATCTGTCGTCTTGGTATTCGTTGTCCTTTACTGGGTCTTGAAGAGGAGGATCGCGCAGTGTCCGAGGTAGAAGTAAATGAAGTGCTTCGTCTCTGTCGGAAGATGAGTATAAAAAGAACTTATGAGGGTCGGGGGTTCAGAACTGACCGTGAGTTACGAAGCTTCCAAAGTTCCGGCCAACAATGCAGTGCCAGGTAGCACCCTTTCGAGAGTCGAACTGGAGGGGTTTATCAGCGAAGGTGTGGGGAGGGGTAAGGCGGGCAAGGAGCGAACCTCTTTCTTGATGTACTGCGCGATGTCCTGGATAATATAACTGTCAGAAACTGTACTGGAAGCATTGGAATTGTTACAGGTTCGTAATAGGACATACCTTCTCAATGTGATACTTCTCCATGGCCTCAATCGCTGGGGTTTATCAGTCATGGCTCGTGCGCGGATTGTTCAAGTCACCTACCAAGAGCAATGGCCTCCTGCTGCATATCCTCGGTCTATCAAGTAGCGTGAGCGCTGTAACTCTGGATGTGAATATCGATCTGTCCTACCATATCCACCGACTTGATTTGTGCTGTGCCTGGCTGTTAACAAACAGAGTCTGGCTCTTGGTGTGAAGTTAGAACTCACCCTCCATCTTGTCCTTCGTTTCAGTAGTCATTGTTGAGGTATTGGGGGAGGTAGTTTTCCGAGAGGTTCGTAAGGTCAGATTGTGCAGGCGCAGAGGGAATGTTCTTGGGAACAGACAGCTGCACTTTGCGCGTGATGGAATCGGGTCGCGCCTTCTGACCGCCTTCATGGTGGAGGATAGCGCTGTGCAAATACTGCCGGTTTACTTTTACCGCCTACTAGATGGGTGGAGAGCTCCAGGTGGGTCTCGGTCCGGAGGTACTAATTCCCGACGATCAAATATTTTAGTTGGAAATAAATTTATCATTTCGTCCGTTTCTTCCTTCTTGCACGAGCTTTCGTCGAACGCCAAAATGGAGAACACTCGCGTGTTCGTCAGTGGTCTTCCACCGACATGCTCCAATGATCAGCTTCGCAATCATTTTGCAGTCCGTTTCCAGGTTACTGACGCCCATGTCCTGCCCAAGCGCCGGATGGGATTTGTTGGTTTCAAAAGCCATGATGCGGCTCAGGAAGCTGTCAAATACTTCAATAAGACATTCTTGAAGATGTCCAAGATCTCGGTAGACATCGCCCGGCCGGTACGTGAAGTTTGTTGTGAACGGAAAATATTTTCCTTTCTGCTTTTTTTTTCTTTCCCTTTCTTCCTTGCCACCCCACGCTGACCAGTTCAGTTGGTCTGGAGACTGACCACTATGTAGATTGACTCTAAGCCTGAGAAGTTCCCTTCTCGCAATCGTGATATGGACAGGGGCACCCAGTCCTCGGATAATGCGCTTAAGCGTAAGAGAGATGAAAAGGCCCAAGACCCTAAGCTCAAGGAGTACCTCTCCTTGATGCAAACATCCTCCAAGACTCGCACATGGGCGAATGACGATGGCATGGTGAATCCAACTGAGGAGCCTGTGCCGGCCAGTAACCAACCGACTCAGGACACCGCTGTCGTTGAGGAGTTTCCTTCCCACCCGAAGAAAGCTCGTGTGCAGGAAACCTCTCCTAGTGAAAAGGATGAGGCACCAAAGCCTGTGGTTGTTGACCAAAGCGGAGCTGATGAGAGCGTGGACTCCCCCATGCTTGATGACCAAGAGGGAGATGGAGATGAAGAAGAACAAGGCGAAGCTGCCCCTGTCTCAGATGCCGATTGGCTTCGATCAAAGACAAGCCGCCTTTTGGGTCTTCTTGACGAAGATGAGCAGGCCGAGTTTGATGACCACAAGGTTGCAGAGCCGGCTCAGCCTCAGAGTCGCACTCCCGATGAACCCGAATCCCGCAATGCGGCAATTGAAAATATTGCCGCTCAACCCCCTCAACCCACAGCTAATGATGATGAAAATGATGATGATGAAGAAGAGCAAGAAGATGTAGTTCGGTTGACGGCGGAGCAGAACAAGAACATTGATCTTATCCGCGAGTCTGCTCGCCTGTTCGTGCGAAACCTAGCTTACGATACCACTGATGGAGACCTAGAGCCGCTTTTTTCTGAATATGGCAAACTTGACGAGGTTAGTGACACTCCTTTTTCTTCTTTCCTATTGCCCCTCCACCCCCATTCGTACCGGCATTCTTGAAATGCCCGGTCGATCGCTCGCATGATGAATTTCCTGATAGGGACATCCGATGCCAAAGGCAGATGATGTGAACAGGTCAAGAGATTTTAGTAGATGCTTCTTGTTTATCTGAAGAGCAACCCAACCATTTCACTTGCACATGCCACTCAATTTGTTTTGACCAAGCGCTGATGAAATTTTAGGTTCACGTGGCCTTTGATACTCGCTATGAGAAGAGCAAAGGTTTTGCCTACATTCAGTTCTCTAATGCGGATGCGGCGATTGAAGCCTACAAGGCCCTCGATGGAAAGCACTTTGAGGGTCGACTCATGCACATCCTGGGTGCCTCTGCCAAGAAGACATACAAGATTGATGATCATGAATTGTCGAAGCTCCCCTTGAAGAAACAGAATCAAATCAAGCGCAAGCAAGGTGCTACTTCTTCATTCAGCTGGAACTCTCTCTACATGAACGTGAGTGTTACTCGTTCTTTTAAGGGTAGAAATTGAAGCTAATTGTTTCCAGGCCGATGCTGTGATGTCTTCCGTTGCAGAGAGACTTGGAGTCGCTAAAGCAGACTTGCTTGACCCTACATCTTCTGATGCGGCTGTCAAGCAAGCGCATGCTGAAACGCATGTTATTCAAGAAACAAAGGCGTACTTCGCATCGAACGGAGTTAATATCGATGCCTTCAAGGGTCGCGAACGTGGAAACACTGCGATCTTGGTGAAGAATTTCTCCTATGGTGTGAAGTCTGGTGAGCTACGAAGCATGTTTGAACCTTTTGGTCAGATTATTCGCCTCCTTATGCCACCCAGCGGTACTATTGCCATTGTAGAATTCGCCAGACCCGACCAAGCACAAAAAGCTTTCAAGGCCCTGGCCTACCGCAAACTCGGGGACTCAATCATCTTCCTGGAGAAAGCTCCCCGGGATTTGTTCGACCCTAACGTGGCCCCCAAGGCCGTTGCCGCCGATACCCGCGGGAAGGGTCAAGGTTTCTCTACTGCGGATACATTCGCAGCCGATGAGCCGGATACTGGCATGACATCGACCCTCTTCGTTAAGAACTTGGATTTCTCGACTACAAACGAGAAGTTCTTGGAGGTCTTCCGACCGTTGGAAGGCTTCGTTACCGGACGTATCAAGACCAAGACCGACCCGAAGAAGCCCGGTCAGACCCTAAGCATGGGTTTTGGTTTCGTGGAATTCAGAACCAAGTCCCAAGCTCAGTCGGCTCTTGCGGCCATGAATGGCTACAAGCTCGACCAACACGAGCTGGTCATTCGTGCCTCTCACAAGGGCATGGATGCTGCGGAGGAGCGGAGGCGCGAAGATACTGCCAAGAAAATTGCAGCCCGCCGAACCAAGATCATTATCAAGAACTTGCCGTTCCAGACCACAAAGAAGGACATTCGATCACTTTTCGGCACATACGGCCAGCTTCGGTCCGTGCGTGTTCCGCAAAAGTTCGATCGCACGGCTCGTGGTTTCGGTTTCGCGGACTTTGTCAGTGCTCGCGAGGCGGAAAATGCCATCGACGCGTTGAAAAACACGCATCTTTTGGGTCGCCGACTGGTGTTGGAATTCGCGAGCGAGGAGGCTGTCGATCCCGAGGAGGAGATCGCGAAGATAGAGAAAAAGGTAGGGGAACAGGTGGACCGTGTGAAGGCCCAACAGATGATGGGCGGCGGACGGAAGAAATTCACCGTAGGGGCTCAGGAGGAAGCATGAAGGTCGCGTCCCTTTTCCCTTTCCTCCCTGTAAGAAGGGTGGTGGACGTTGACTTGGGATTGGCCGATAGCGCACCCCTTGCGTGGTGGTGGAGGACGACGATGTACGATTTCTTGCATACGCTTTTTCAGGCTTATTTTTTTACTTTTTTTTACCTGCGCTCAGAGAAAAAGAGATACCCCGAACACGTTCCTGCGGCTGTCAGTTAAGCCCTGCAGATTTTTTTAAAGACCCTCGTGCCGCTCATGTGCTTCTTTCTGTTCCTCCCCATTCAAGGTGCTGCAGTACCCTTTAACCCTAACCCGCCGATGCTCTCCTTGTATACTTCCCTTCTCCCCTCTCGGTCCCTTCCCATCCAAACCCCACGCGACCACCACTAGGATCAAAGGGTTGTGAGTTATTTGTTGTGATAGTCCTGAGATGATCATTCGCCTACATTCCAATGGGTGCGCTGCTGTGGTCTCGACATTCCTGAGCCTGGGTTGAGCAAATGGGCAACGTCGCTGGACATCCGACATTCTTCATGGGTGTCCATTGCCACCGATCACTGACAATTGTTTGTCGACACTGACCAGCATGATAGTCGGGCAAAGTCACCGTCCTGCAGCCCAAAATCTCCGAGTCTTTCGTGACTGGATCGTGCTGCTCCAGCATCTCCAGCATCCCTTGCATCCGACAGCACTTCCTTCAGATCATACCCTTTCTTGACTCCTGATTTGTCGCGGCAAGGACAGATGGCGGCCGTCCTTTGCTCCCCACACGGCGTCTGGGCGCGCGACGGCCAGGACTAGGTCCTGCCTAGGAGTATGGAGATGGCGTTCGAGGGTCGCGGTGCAGGCAAAGGTCGCTATGCTGCTACTGGGACTACACACCCCTCCCCAGGGGAGTTATTTTCCCTATAAACACCATCTTGCTCGCTCTCACATTCTCTTTCACAGGTCCTGACATTCTCTTCCACCCGTCTGCGTTCTTGAGCAGTTGTGTTTGCGACTGTGCTGCGTTCTTTGCCAGGCAGTAAGCATTTGACGGTGCCTCTCAACTCCCTCCTCCTTGGAATCCGTCATTCTTTTCGAGAAGCCCGTCACTTGGTAAGCTTGCCATGGCTGCTGACTGGCAACCCGAGTGCCTCGTGCCTCAGAACCAGCCGTCCCTCGAGGCTGTAGGAGCTCATACCGACCGGGCTCTGCAGAATACCTCTGGGAACGTTCAGTCATATTCTGATACCTTCGCTCACGGTGATCCCACTGCTCGAGATGACCATCTTCAGCAGCTGGGCTTCAAGTATCCCCACCATGCTACTGCCGCCCACCCCGTTGCAGCTCCCAGCCTTGCTCACCAGCAAGCAGTGGCTGCCCGTCTTCATGCTCGCAAGCTACGTCGTCTTCACTCTGTTGGGCCTGGGCCAAATGTAGCTCCTCGACGTGGACGCAGCTATCTCAAGTCACAGAAGTATATGGAATATCGAGCACGTCCTCGACGTGATACTGGCAAGGATGGTGAACCTGTTTGGTCTGATGAGCTGGAAGATGCATTCCAGCAGGGTAAGTCTTCTTCATCCAGCTTCATTACAGAAGAACATTTCAATTCTGATGACATATACAGCTCTTGAAGCAAACCCTCCAATGGGCCGGAGAAAGTGGTCGGAACGTGGAAAGTCATACGGCCGCAATGAATTGATTGCCGAGTACATCTTCAAGTTGACCGGCAAAAGGAGGACTCGCAAGCAAGTGTCGAGTCACTTGCAGGTTCTCGATTCGTTCCTGAAGGGCGATCCTGATTGTGAGTTTGCTAGCTTGACGTCTCTCTGGTTTGGATATTAATACCATATGGTTAGGGGAGCGACTTGTTCGAGAGCAGTCGGGAGATAGATTGAGCGGTCATTCTCAGACATCCGCCACCCCCAAGTGGAGATCTTCCATGGAGCATCCAGCAGCACCAAGTCACTACGGCCATGCACAATCCACCTACCATGATTCTATGAGAATGATGCAGCCTTATGGTGGTGACCTCCCCCCGCCTCATTATACCCTGGGCTCAAGTATGCAGGAGGCCAGCACCAAGAACATCCACGGCTTCAGTTTTGATATGTGGGTCAGTGCTCCTCAGCAAGCCAACCGTATCGACAAGGCCCTTCACGCATATACCCGTCTTCAGGGAGATCTTCATCACCCTAATGCACCTCCCATGCCCCTTGAGGACGTGCCTGGCTGGCGCGCCTCATTCCCGCATCTGGCCTCATCTCTTGACGAGATGAATGGTCCTCTGGACTGCGATATTATTATGTTGGAGGTGAATCTAGAGCTGATGACTGATTTCCCTCCTTCCGGCTCCCGACTTGGTATTCAACTAGACCTTGACTTCGGACACCCTACCGCTGGGGACGTGTTGATGGTCAACCAGATGGACAACTGGACTTGCAGCACCCGGCTATACGAAGACGGGCGAGAGCATTGGGAAACATACCACGATCTTTCCAAGCCCCAATCAACCAAGGTCAAGCCGCTTTTTGAATCATCCTGGTGGGCCAAACTCTTCACTGAGCTGACCCAGGATAAGCGCATCGCCGAGGATTCGGGTCAACCCGAGTCAGTCCATGCTACGGATGAACGCACTCGTCGGTTCCTCCGCTCTCTGTCTGCAGTACAGGAGATTCGTGCCATTCCCCCTGCCTCGCGTCGTCTTTCAAACCAATTCCAGGGCCACCAGGGCGAAGAAAGCGAGCGCATGGCCATTCTAGTCTGGAAATTCCGTCAAACCCGACCCGGTGAAGTTGGCACAACCACCTGGCGCCGTCTGATTCCCCCTCCTGATCGGGTTCAAACCAACAGCCCCCGACAAAGTTCCGGTGTTGACCTTCCTCCTCTCTCCCTCGACTCCATCCTTCTCAACAAACCCTCGCAGAGTGTTTATCAGGCAGCTCAATCTCAAGACTTTACCCACCACCAGGCTCAACAGCAATCTCAGTGGCCTATATACCCCCATTCCCACGATAATGTGGCTAATATCTTTAATTCCTCCGGTCAACTGGACTTCATGACCTCAATCACCAAGGCGGAAGATGGCCTTGGTGACAAGACCGCCGTGAGCTCGGTTCTGGACTCATTCCCTACCAGTCTCGCACCCGAGACATCCCAACCGACCAGCATGAGCGCTAGCAGCGGTGGACCCATGATGCTCGGTATGCATGGTATTCCCATGACCCATCAGAACCTGGGCTATAACATGGGCCATGACGCTAGTCAGTATGTTCCATCTCCGCAGCATGGTGTCAACCTTCACGACAGCCATAGCGTGCTTGACGGCTTCTTTGGGCCTGGCACACAGTCCCTTGATGACCTCAGTCACGGCCAGGCATCTTGGGGAGCACACTCTACCTCCATTCCTGGCGACGTTAATGCCGGCGGATACCATCACATCCCTTTCCAGACCGAGCCCCAGGTTCCTTCCTCGCGCGAGACGCAACAGCCACACAATTTTGACGGTTTGATGCCGGCGGATGATCTGATGGACAAACTCGTTGGACGTCTGTCTAATGGTCCTAGCATGCATGGGGCGGGCCCTGAGCATGCGAATAACGGCTATTCAGAGAATCCGGTGGATGCGGTTTAATGATACGCAAGAAAAAAATTTACTTGGTAATGATAATATTATTTTGGAGTGATGTACTCATATACTTTTACATCTCTTTTATTTTCTTTTTCCTTTTCTATCATCTGAGAGCGGCAAACGAGGGGAGTTACTGGGGCTGTGGAGTTCAATTCCTCTTCTTTTACATTTCAAATAAATTTCTTGTATACTTGAGAACTGGGTTCGACATTATAGTAAAAGATAAAGGTAGAATAAACACAGAATAGTGGGGGTTATATATATTACTATCAGCTTCAAAGTTCTTTCAATTAACCCCAACTTTCAAGGTTGGGGGTGTCACGGTGATTCTGCCGATACCCCGCACGCCATTCGTTATTTCGCTAAAACATTGCCGGTCATTGGACAAAAGACGAAGATATAGAATGTACAGAAGACCCACTACTAAGTCCGAATCCACTTGAATGCCGCAGAGCTAGGGTTTAAATAGAGCTGGGCTGGGTTACATTCCCTCGCGAGTTCCACCCGTTGCCGGTCTCGCTCTCAGACAGAGTCTTCAGAAATGGGGAAGGTCTTCAACGCTGCAGAAGGTACAGTTTGCTCGAGATCGTTGTCGTCACTCTACTATCAGACTAATCAATCCCAGTTGCTAGTCATAACACCAGCAAAAGTTGCTGGGTAGTCCTATATGGAAAAGTCTACGATGTGAATCACCGCCGAACCGGACACCACGTCTAACTAGAATGACTATGCTGACACTGAATTTAGGTAACTGATTTCGTCGCCAAGCATCCAGGTGGCGCAAATGTGATTTTGAAGCTCGCAGGAAAGGATGCAACCGAGGAATATGACCCTGTACATCCTGAGGGTACGCTCGAGAGCAACCTCAAGCCCGAGGCTCTTCTCGGCAGCATTGATCCCGCCACAATGCCTAAGCCTGAGACACAATCAGGAGGCTCTGAGAAAACTCTAGAAGACGTGCCAGTGCACACGCTCCTCAATATGGATGAATTTGAAGAGCTTGCCACGAAAAAGATCAGCAAGAAAGCGTGGGCATACTACTACTCCGCGGCCGACGACAAAATCACGAAGCGCTTGAACACTGAGGTCTTCCGCTCAATTCTCTTACGACCTCGGGTCTTCATTGATTGTACAGAGTGCAATCTCGACACAGCTTTACTAGGAAACCAAGTTTCTCTGCCTATATATGTGTCTCCAGCCGCCCAGGCTCGCCTGGGTCATCCATCTGGTGAAGCAGGCATTGCCGAGGCATGCAGTAGTATGGGTGCGCTACAAATAATCTCAAACAGTGCATCCATGACGCCAGAACAAATTGTCGCCAACGCCACACCAGACCAGGTCTTTGGATGGCAACTCTATGTGAACGACGATCGAAGCAAAAGCGAAGCGATGATTGCGCGAGTCAACAAACTTCACGCGATCAAATTCATCGCCCTAACTCTTGACACACCAGTGATGGGCAAAAGAGAGGATGACCAGCGTTTCGGCAATGTCATCGACGAACTCACGGAACAGTCGTCACCTGAATCCTTTAAGCAGCGCGAGAAGCAAGCCTTTGCAGGTATGGATCCGACTCTAACCTGGACGGAGACCCTCGCCTGGTTGGCGAAACATACCACTCTCCCTGTTGTCCTTAAAGGTATCCAGACGCATGAGGATGCCTATATTGCCTCCTTGCATCGGCCACAGGTGAAGGGGGTTATCCTTTCCAACCACGGCGGTAGATCTCTTGATACCTCACCCCCGGCGGTCCATACCCTGCTTGAAATAAGAAAATACTGCCCTGAGGTTTTTGACAAGATTGAGGTGTGGATGGATGGTGGTGTGAGAAGAGGAACGGATGTTGTCAAGGCTCTTTGCTTAGGTGCCAAGGGCGTTGGTATTGGGCGGCCACCACTCTGGGGCTTGGCTGCTGGGGGTGTCGATGGCGTGAAGAGAACATTACAGAGTAAGTTGAAAAGACGAGATGTTCTTATGGTGACAGAGTGCTGACTGATTTTTCCCAGTTTTGGCGGATGAGACCAAGACTTGCATGCGTTTGCTTGGGGTTCAAAGAGTAGAACAACTTGGAATGCAGCATGTGAGTTTTAAAATCCAGCTCTTTATTCCTTGAAATGCGAGAAGCTAACGGTTTGGTTCTTTAGATCAATTCCCGACTAGCTGAAGGGCAGATCTACGATGGGCCGTCCGGTCTTGAGGCATGCCGTGCACGTCACGGGTCAAAACTCTGATACTCCCATAAAACTCTCTTTCAACTGCATAGAAACCAAATTAATTACCTAGCATTGGTACTAAAGATACTCATTTCAATTTTGGGTACTTCCAAGGTTTAAGCAAGTTCAAGTTGATGATAAACGTGCATTAACTACCTAGGTATGGAATATATATACCAGTAGTACCTACCAGTACTAGTACTAGTACAATATCGAATCCAAGGTTACTAGTAGTAGAACAGGCCCAAGACCACTTAACTACGTAGTATTCAACGATAAATAAAAATGAAATACCTACAAGACTTCCAAGGTTCTGTTGTCATAATACTACCACTACTAGTAGTAATACTTCTAGTTCATCGAGTGCCAAGACCCTTCCCTCTCCGCCTCTCCGCCTCTCCGCATCATCTCCGACACGCCGCTCAATTTCCTCCTCACTGGCACATCCACTCACCTTCCGCCTGGGAAATGAGCAATTCCTCCAGGATGGCCACACGCCTAGGCACGGCTGTGCGCATTCACCTAAAGCCTAGTTCCCGACACCAACTATCCGACACTCGGTCGATTCTCGATGCGCTCAAGAAATTCGGTGAAGTCAATACATTCAAGAACCTCAAGGTACTAAGGCCAGGCTGAGCTCCAGTCCAAACCCAAGAAGCAAGACTAAGCTTCATTTATAGTTCGACTTCCATCACGCGAAACCAAATGAGATCAATCGCTGCATTCGCGTGATCTTCGACGAAAAAGAAGCCGCAGAACGCGCCATCGCCGCATCGCCTCTGAAAGTCTCCATTTCCCACCGACAATCACAATCACAATCACAACTAGCAAACAACCCCTCGTCCACCGAATCCCCTTCCTCAAACCCATACACAGACTCCGTTCTCACAAAACACACCTCAACCCCCGGCATCGCCCCCAAGAATAAAGAAATAACCTGCACAATCGAACCCGACAACCACACAGTAGCAATGATAACCTCCCGCACAAAGTTCAACGTCTACAACACCCGCAAAAAGGACAATCACGTCCTCCATGACCTCACGGGTCCAGAAACAAGCATACCGCTTCCACAACTGACCGATACGATCCGGCGCGAAGGGATGGACTTCTACGACAAGAAAAGGAAACCAGATCCCAATGCGCCGACCTTAATGGAGCTTTATAGAGAGGGTGTGCAAGCTGCCGCTGATGCAAAGAACCCGCGCTCGAAAATCGTTACGTTGGAGGAGGTGCATAAATCGCATCAGTGTCAGGATCAGGATCAGGATCAACCCCAGCATCAGCACGAGACGACTGCTCGCGAAAGCGGGTTGAAGCGATTGGCCAAGGAGAAGACGCGTCACCCTCGGATGGCGGAAGATTGAGAGGAGGATCTTGATACGCGCTTATACTTAGTCTTCTAGACATTGGAAGTGGGATTCGCTGTTCTTCTATCCGGACCGGGCTCTTGCCGTTTGGCTGGATAACATTGGGTATACCCAAATGACATACCCACCTGAAGTGCCTGGCTCATTCAGCTGGCCCACACTCAACGACATTCGATTGCTTGGGAACCCCGCAGCCTCGACTATTTTGTCGGTGATACACTGCAGCTGCATTTTGCCCGTTTTCACATGAGGCAAAACATGCACTAGCAGTTTGATGCAGTTTTTGCACCAAACCATGCCAGAAGAAGAAGAAATTGAATGGTGATACCATGGAGATTGTGACACCCGGCACTCGCTTGGGCTGGCTCGACATGGATCTGTATATATGGAAGATCACACTATGGCGGATCTGGTCATCGGGTGTGCGAAGTAAATACAATATCCGAGCCACCTGGGCAGTTACAGGAACTCTCAGCAAGCACAAGCTCATTCGTATTCGTTGCTCATCGAGATTTGTCATCTGCTAAAAACTGATTCTACAAACAAGAAAACGCCAAAGCCAAGCTATCATCCCAGCCCACGACCTGCCAGATAAAAATAACAGGAACTATCAGACCCGCAAGTAAGCTAAAGTAAACACAGAGTGTTAGTACATACTGCCCAGTCACATAATTCGAGTAGTTGGGAGCGGGGAGGAGAAAACATACTTGCGTCAATCTGCACAATCTGCGGAAGTGCCAGCTTCACCTTATTCCGGTAAACAGCAGGACCATTCATCTGCAAGGGATTTCCCTCGAAGTAAACCGTTTGCAAGTTCTCCTTGTCCTTCAATTCGCGCTCCACCTCGTCGAAGCTGGAGAGCTGGTTGTTCGAGGCCCAGAGCTCTTCAAGGTTCTTTAGAGAGGAGAGATGTTCTAAATGGGAGACTTGGTTGTTGGAGAAATCTAGGACGCGCAGTGCGGTGTTGTTTTCTAGTCCGGTTAGGTCGGTGATTGCGTTGTGGGAGAGGTAGAGTTCTTCGAGGTTGGGGAGGTTGGAGACTCCGGTGATGTTGGTTAGGCGGTTAGATTGGATAGAAATAATGCGGAGATTTTGAAGGGCGTCGAGGTTCTGTTGGATGAGTGTTTGTTAGTTATAGTGATCCCATAGGGTCGGTGATTCAAGTTTGATCGGGGATAATTTGTTGTTACCTTCATCTCGACGATTTTGTTCTTTCCGAGCCATAGTTCTTCCAATCCGGCGAGATGATCCAGGTTTTCAATTTCCTGATCGAAGTTAACATCACCCACTCATTTATCTCATCTGCGTCATTCTGCCGCCTATGGCATGATCCATACCCTAATTCGATTCGCTCCAAGCTCGAGATTGCGCAACTTGAGCAACCCTTCCAACCCCTCGATTGTAGAGATCTTGTTCTGTACAAAGTAGATATCCGTCAAGTGAACCAGATGCGAGACGTTCTTGATGTGCTTGATCTTGTTGAAGCTCAGATCCAAGCTGGTCAGGTCACTGAATTCATCCAGACCCTTGATGTGCGAGATAAGGTTGTCATAGAGGTCGAGTTCTTTCATGGATTGGGCAACGTTCGAAGGGAAATTAATGCGCTGTATTTGATTTTGTCGAAGACATAATCTCTATATCGCAAATTGTCAGTCAGACAGACCTCGCCGAAACGAAGGGAAAGAAAGAAAACTAGGAAAAAGTCGCCGGACAGAACCACCACCACTGTGTCGGAGATTCAGTCACAGCGCTATACCCAGGGATTAACATACCCGGAGCTTCTCAAATCGTTCAAGGTGTAACGCCGAAAGCGAAGATATGCGACAATGCACGAGATCGATTTCCTAGAGAACCAACGAAACCAACGATTAGTGATCAGCCAGCCAACAACGCCCAGTTTCGAGACCCAAGGGAAAGCCGCTTTAACCCAACCCAACATACCTCTGTATTCACATCCTCATCTGCCAGTAGATCTGCAAAAGTCCATCAGTATCAATTTCTTCAACGACGCGCCATCTCCACTGCACTGTGCCACCGGAGAAATTCCCTACCCTCGTCCGCATCAATTTCCTCCACGGGCGGTGCCTCCGGGTCGGAATAATCCGAGTCCTCTAGAGCTTCCGGGTTGGTGATGACTGCTTTTGGCTCGACACGCATTTTGCCGTCCCAGCCTTCCTTATTCTTCATGTTCGGTGAGGTGGGATTCCCAGTGGTAGGGTGGGATGATGGGAGGTCCAATGGCGGGCGGTGGGATGTTCGATGCGGGGAGCTTCCAAGAGCGGGCGCCGAGGTTCCGTCGGGGTGAGGGGAGAAGAGAAGAGATAATCGACTGAGACAATTTGTTCGAATCAGTGGGATTTTGCAAAGAGGCGATTTGGAGACGGTTGGAAGTGCCCAGGAGTGGAGGGGCGAGCTTTCGAGCTAATTTGAAGGTTGGTTGGTTGGTCATCTTGCTGGGACTCGGAGCTCGATGCGGCTTTGGCTACGAATGAGTGCAGGTGAACCATGGGATGCAGATAGCCAACTTTCAAGTTCAACTTCTAAACTACTCTCTACTAGTAGGTACTGAGAACAGTCACAATGAGCCGAACTACTGTGTATTCCTAATGAGACATTTTCCTCGAGGACTATATACAGCATAAAGTGCCGCAGGTCATATACATTGGAGGAGTCAATCCAGCAATATAATCCAAAGATCTTCTCCGCGGTGGCATCATAGCAGAGTGTATTAGATGATACCGCCACAGAGAAACACCAGTCGCCATCAACAACAAAAGTTAAATGTGACAAACTAGTTCAAACCCTTAGCTGGGCAAGGTAGCAAGGCATTCGAGACAGAAACAGGGGGAGAGTGCTGAGGGGAAGATGGGATACAAGGGGGGCATAATAACCAACAGACGCCTGCAGAATGCATTGGAGAATGCGGGGGGTGATTGCGACAGAGGGAAGACAACAAGGAAATTCAGGGCATGACATGGGAGGGAATCGACGGGGATAAGAAATGGGCAAAAGCTCGCTCGGAGCATGGTCAGATAAGTAAGATCACAATGCCAAAGAGTTGAAAGGAGCAGAAAAGGAGGAAGATGCCAGGGGTTATTGTGGGCTATACGGGAAAAAAAGGAAGGAAAGAAAAAGTAAAGAGAAGCCAAAAAAAGAGCAGTCAAGTAAGAAAAGAAAAGGGGGAAAAAGACAACAGATGCAACAGATGGGCCACGACCCGTTGGGGAACCAGTTCCAATCTGGGTCAATGGTCGAGCGTCGAAGAAGAGAAGTTATAATGGAAACAAGAGGCAGGGTGAAGAAGAACCCGTCATTCATAGGAAAGACACAATGCTGGAAAGCTGGGAAAGGAACAGAGGCTTTTTCTCGCACCAAAAACAAAAGAAAGGACACGCTCAATGGGGAATCTCAGGCGTAAGGAAGATCCGGACATGAAGTTTCACAGGGTGATGTCCAAGACCATGCTGACATCTTGGACTTGTTGTCCAGCAAGATCCTCGAGAACGGGAATCAGGTCAAGCAATTCGTTGTCATGTGCGTCAGAGAACCAGCTGCTGATGGGTATCGCGTGTTGAGGGTGGAAAATGTAGGAGGTGGGGGAGTTGTCAATGATGATCGTTTCGCGAAGGTCGCGGCCGACTTGAGAAAGATCCTGTTGGAAGTTAGCAAATGGTGATATTGTGGCAGAGTGGAACGAGGCTGACCTTAACATAGTTTCCCTGATGATTATAACAGCTCTCGCGGAACAGACGGTGGTGAACGACGTTGTGAATGTCCAATTGATCCAAGAGAGGATCACCATACTGCAAGGAAATTAGTACATAGCTCATTCTCCAGAATTATGAGGCGGGTGGGGTCAACGAACCTTGGAAACTGATGCAGTAAACACTACAACCTCATATAGCTCACCAACTCGCTTCATGAACTGGTCCACACCGGGGCGCTTAATCACATAGATGTTGTGGTATTGTCCCTCGATCTCCACTGGAATTGTGAAATCCGCACGTTCAAGGACCTAGGTTCATGGTAAGCTTACACGGAAACTGCTTCTTGACTGAGATTGACATGCATACCTTGAAACTGCTGTGTACGAGTGTTTCATCGAGATCCAGGACGAGGCATTTGCGGTTCTGCAGGTGCGGCACAGGCGGCGGAAGTAACCATTGCTGTTCGCCGGCATCTGGTGCGATGGGGGGGCTCAGGGACCGGCAAAGGGGGTGGCGGGGGCAGGACTGTCGCGGGTTGCACATCTTCCTCGTGTGTTGAGTCTTCACCTTCGCCAACGGGTGCTTTCTTGTCAATCGATTCGTCCGCGGGGAGGGCCTCATCACCGGTGGCCGGTTCGTCTTGTGGGTGAACTCCATTCGTTTTCACCTCGGTTATTACTCCATTCGGGGTCGCGGTGGTACTCTCTTGCTCCTTTGTGCTCACTGGAGCTGGCTCAGATTGTCCGGCAGTGGTGGAAGTGCCCTCGCCTTGCGCATCGGCAGGAGCGTGCGAGCCTTGGTCTTCGTCCTTGGGCTGAGATTGATCGGCGCCGACAATGGGCTGGGCCTTCTCGTCCACGGCATATGCAGGATCTCTAGACTCCACCGTGCTCGAGTCACCGGTTTGGGCTTCTGCTTTGTCGGGGGTGGGCAGGCGGTTTGAAGTAGGCGGTAACTTGGTAGTTTTCTTCGGAGGGAGAGCCGAGTCATCCCCCTCGGCATCAGGAGATGAGCAGCAAAGGAGGCTGCGAAGCTTAGAGATCTTTTTCGGCTGAGGCTTTGAAGGGCCGTTCATGTCGGGGGTGGTTGGGGTGTTTGTCTCATTGCTCTTCTCGGCGTTCGCTACTTCCTGAGTCTGTCGCGATCGGCGGCTACTCGCCCGACTGCGGTCTCTCCTCGCTTTCAAGATACTAATCTTGGAGCTTCGTCGAGACTGCTCGTCCGGCGCAGCCTCATCGGCACGGTCCGATGTCGATTGTTTGTCCGTCTTGGAGAGTCGCGACGGCGTTGGGATCAAAAGACGACGTTTCTTGGGTTCGTCGGCAGGTTCCACAGTATCCGTAGAGGTTACAGCGGGTGCGGCCGCGGCGGATGAAGAGGCAGGATCAGAAGGCGCGCTTGGCTTGGATTCCTGGGATTCGGCGACATCGGTGGTGATGTTGTCGGGAGGCATCTCGGACCCTGACAGCGATCATTAGCATTCGCGACCGGGGGATTCCTCACAAATTGCGCATAGCAAGCGCAGAGTGAGCCGGGGGCAAGGAGAGAAGAAAGGAACTCACCTTTAGTTTCTGGGGTTTCGGGGGCGTTCATGGGTGCTTTGCCCGCAGACTCGGGAGCTGAGGGCGCGGAATCTCGCCCCTCGCTCTCACCACGCATCGGGGGTAGCTGCGGCGAAGATGAAAAAGGGTAGGATTGAGAGAATCCACCGGGGAGATCGGCGGCGAGGGTGAAAGGAGAGGGCGATCAAGAGAAGAGAAGGAGAGTGCGGCTACAAGGATGTCAACACGGCCTCCTGGATCAGCGATCCGGAGAATCGCACGTACCGCCTTTTGGCCCCAAAGGTCAACAACTCTGCCAAGACACGAAGAGAAGAAGGCAGCAACAACGCAGGCGACAATGCAGGCGCAGACGCAGATGCAGACGCAGATGCCGATATGCAGCTGGAGGTGCGTACTAATTTGGGGGGGGTGGGAGGAGAGGGGAGAAGGGGCTGGAGGAGGAGATGGATGTCACGTGGGTGGTGAAAGGTGGTGAAATGGGAAATGAACTGAAATGAACTGGACCTGAGGTGAAGTGAGGTGAACTGAATGAAATGGCCCTTTCGATTGGTCCTGGGCAGAACTTTCGGGGGTCTTTCAGCTAGTGCGAACACTAGCGCTGAGGTGCTGCTACAGAACAAGTCCTAAGGACCTAAGCGTGGTGGGTGCCAACTGCACATCATTCACACCGGCGGCTACGGGGAAGCAGTGGCAGTCATGCAATACGAGTACACATGGCATAGAGATGGTATCAAGTCTGGGTACCTTTATGGTGTAAATAAAGAATGATATACTAGGTACAATAAGTACGAGTGTTACTAAGTAACCCCTTTGCGTATACTCCATACTCCTACTCCTACTCCTACTCCGTGGACGACCAAGGTTCCAGGGACTGAGGGACTGGACTGGGAGGGTCTGGGCTGCAGAAAAGCAAGTGTGATGGGAGATCGAGGACATCCCCACTTGGTCGAGCGTGAGTGGGTGGAGTCGGGGCTGCCCCTTTTCGTGGTACTCGTACAGCGTAAGGTGGAGGGAGTCGTAGATTAGTTCCAGTATTCTATATTCATGATAGGTACGAGTACTTGCCGTACTAGCAGAAGTATAGCTGCAAGCTTCAGCTCCCGCTGCACTGTACATCTCCCGTGCCATGGGATGCCGGTACCTCATGGTAGTAACTTTGGATAGGTAAGATACTATATACTAGTACTAGTACTAGTGTAAAAGAAAAAAAAAGAATAGTCCAAGGCCAGGAATTGAACCTGGGCCATCGTATTTCTTTTAAGACGATATGCTACCACTGCACCACCTCGGCTTAATCACTGGCTTAAGCCAGAAAAAAAAAGATAACAGAAATGTCCAAGGCCAGGAATTGAACCTGGGCCGTCGCCGTTCGAGAATCGGCGACATGCTACCACTGCACCACCTTGGCTGGATCACTCCAAACAGGCCCACTCTAATTTCTGAGCCAATGAAATGCTCCCTAGTACAGTACAGCTACGCTCTACTCCAGCTACCCCATACTCTCTGCTCACGTGTTGCCTCCGCATCCCGAGGTTCACCTTCACATGCAAGTGGAATGATCCAACCACTGCTCCTTCAACTTCAACTTCTACTTTTCATGTTTCCTCTTGAACACTCCTTCCAATAACAAATACCCCCATCCTCCTCATCCTCCTCCATAACCCCCCCTACAACCCCTACCCTTCGATCCAAGAGCTGGTCTCTGGCTCATGGCACTGCATCGTCATTAAATAACGGCTCTCGGACCTGGGCAACAATGGCCGCCCAGTCCACTCTCCGTCGCCCGGAGGACCCCCCTCGTAGCCCTCTACCTGCACTACTCAGACCTTATCCGATCCCGAATCAGCAAATCCTCAAAAACCACCCGAGTAGTGGCTACGATCGCCCTACTACTCTCCATCATCGGCTCCGCATATGGTGGATACAACTGGTACCGAGAGGGCGCGAAGGAACGAGCCCAAGGCCGCCGGTTACTACGTCGAAACTCTGGCATCCGTGGCAAGGATGGCTCGCGGACCATCTATGTGCCATATAAGGGTTCCCGGACATCCAAGGTTCTGATCCACCCGACCAAGCCGACCACCTTCGATGCCCATCGGCGACTCTTTCTCAATCCGCCCGCCTCCGCACGCACCGGAGAGGAGGGGTCGGTCAATCAAATCCCTCCACCCACGACAAAGCCCGGATTAAACCTGGCCTTCTTGCACCAGTTCCTCAGTCTTGGGAGTATCATGGTCCCTCGATGGGGAAGCAAGGAGACTGGTTTGCTCATGAGCCATGGCCTTTTCCTTTTATTCCGAACATACCTATCACTCTTGATCGCACGGCTCGATGGCGAGATCGTTCGAGATCTAGTCGCTGGTAAAGGCAGGGCATTCACGTGGGGAATCGCTAAATGGTGTGGTATCGGAACCCTCGCCTCCTACACCAACGCGATGATCAAGTTCCTCCAATCCAAGGTGTCGATTGCCTTCCGGACCCGATTGACGCGATACGTCCACGACCTCTATTTGACAGACAATAATAACTATTATAAACTCATGAATATGGACGGCGGGATCGGCCAAGGGCCCGACCAGTTCATCACCCAAGATCTTACCTTGTTTTGCTCGGCTGCAGCCGCGTTATACTCCTCGATGGGTAAACCCATGGTGGATCTTTTTGTCTTCAACTATCAGCTCTACCGCTCCCTTGGCCCTCTTGCTCTCAGTGGTATCCTCGCAGGCTATTTCAGTACGGCTGTCGTGCTTCGGAAACTGTCCCCGCCGTTTGGGAAGCTCAAGGCTGTCGAGGGTAAAAAGGAAGGCGACTTCCGCGGTCTACACTCTCGTCTATTGGCCAATGCAGAGGAGATTTCGTTCTATGGCGGCGCCGATATCGAACGTGTTTTCCTGGTTCGCAGTTTCAAAGACTTGCAACGATGGATGGAAGGCATCTACAGCCTGAAAATTCGATACAACATGCTTGAAGACATGATTCTCAAGTACTCCTGGTCCGCCTTTGGCTACCTAGTGACCTCCTTGCCGGTTTTCCTTCCCGCCTGGGGTGGCTCGGGTGGTGCCATGGAGTTGGCCGATATGCCCGTGGAGGAGAAGATGGGCCGGGAGCGTGGTCGCATGAAGGAATTCATCACCAACAAGCGTTTAATGCTCTCGTTGGCTGACGCAGGCGGTCGCATGATGTACAGCATCAAGGATATCTCAGAGCTTGCCGGTTACACTTCTCGAGTCTACAATCTCATCTCTACACTTCATCGTGTGCATGCCACTGCCTATTACCCACCGCGAGGCTCGCACCCGGAGCTTTATTCTCTCGCCGATGCCCAAGGTACCACTCACAATGGGTTTGACGGAGTTCGCTTGGAGCAAGTGCCCATCGTGGCTCCATCTCTCTACCCAATGGGCGGAGACGAACTCATCGAATCGCTATCCTTTATCGTCCACTCGGGAGAGCATTTGCTCATCTCGGGTCCCAATGGCGTCGGCAAGTCTGCTATCCCGCGTATCGTGGCTGGATTGTGGCCCGTTTACCGGGGTCTAGTCAGCCGACCGCGAGGATTCGGACTAGACGGCATCATGTTCCTCCCCCAGCGACCGTACTTGAGCGTGGGAACTCTCCGTGACCAGGTCCTTTACCCTCACACAGAGGTCGACATGCACGAAGCCGGTGAAACAGACGCTTCATTACAGAAAGTTCTTGATGATGCCCACCTGGGCTATCTACCCCAACGTGAGGGCGGCTGGGATACCCGCAAAGAATGGAAAGATGTTCTCAGCGGTGGTGAGAAGCAGCGTGTTGCCATGGCCCGACTATTCTACCACGAGCCCCGATACGCATTCATCGATGAAGGAACATCGGCCGTCTCTTCCGATGTGGAAGGTGTACTTTACGAGCGGGCGAAGGAACGAGGTATCACTTTGATCACAATCTCGACACGTGCCTCCCTGAAGAAATACCATACCTTTAACATGACCCTCGGGCTCGGAGAGGAGGGCGAGCGCTGGGAATTCGAGAGGATCGGCACGGAGAAGGAGAAGCTCGGCGTTGAGAAGGAGATCCAGGAGCTACGCAAACGTTTGGATAAGGTGGATGAGTGGAAGCTTCGTCGGGAAGAGATCGATAAGGAATTGTCGAAGGTCTGGTCTAGCGATGGTGAAATTGCGCCGCCGCCTTACCAAGAGAAGGATGTAGAACCAGAGCTGGAGACAGAGACAGAGTCGGTCTCGGAGGTACCTTCGGAGGTACCTTCGGAGGTACCCGCTGAAGGCACGGCTAACTGAGGTGATTGATGATACCAAGTGCAGAAGGGCATTGTCTGATTTTGGTTTTTTAAATGTATGCTGTATACCATCTGCTTTTTCCTGTTTACGAGAGCAATGAATCTTGAACTACAGAACGTCCCCAAACTGGTGTCACCACCTACACTCTTATCTACTGCAAAGATCTACTCTACCGTAATAAGACTCGGAATAAATTAGGAGTATCAATATTCCAGTTAAGATTCCAAGGTTACTTTCGACGGGTCACATGTATCTCGTGTTTTATTACCGTATGGAGTAACTGAATAATCATGATGACGTTATAGAATCAACCGCCATAGTACATATACACAGTGTCGAACCCATGAAGCCCGCAAGGTTTTCAGCTTTGTTATGAGCTTCCATAAGACACTGCTTGACTATCGGGTTCCTGGGCATCGAGCCCTTGCAACGTTCAAGTTGTACCAAACACGGATATTAAGTCCTACCATGCCTATTACGCATCACTATCGGATTCCTCATCGAGCCACTACAACGCTATACCAAACACGGAGTCTATATCCTACTACCATACCTACTAGTACAGTGTTTCACTATCGGACCCCTCATCGAGCCCTTACGAAGTCGTACCAAACACGGACAGAGCATACTACTATGCCTACAGCAAGGTTTATTAACGACAACATCACAGTGTCTTGCGACACCGATGTGAAGTTGACACTCTATGATGAAACTAATCCTGATGAACCTTGTACTTTACTCTGCCCCGGCGAGACCAGGAAAAACTTTACTGGAAAAATCATTTGTATTGAACCTTATTCGACCTATGCTGTTAGGTCGTGGCAGGTTTGCGAGGATGTGGACTTCGCTGCTAACAAGGATGTTACTGTGACGGATCAGAGTAAGCATGCTACTATTTAAAATAACTAATACACTTGAATGAATACTGACTAGTTATCTAAGCGCTCGAACAAGGGAATAAGGTGGTTACGTTCGGTTAATGCGAGGATGGAACAAAGCCTGCTGAGTATATCTATGGATGTATGGAATTCCGTTTTCAACTTCAGTTGTATACGCAATCCATCAAATGGGACTACCACACAAATTGTTTAAAAATTTGTGGATTCAAATTGATTATACTGTTATGAAACAGATTAGGTGAGGTGTGCTATAAAGCTTGCATCTTTTTCCAAGTCAAGTAGCAGTAAAATTAGTTTCGAACTTGGCATGCACTGGTATTGTAGTAATTGATTATTCATAGTCTTCCTGTAGGTGATGATGAGTTTCAAGGTGAGTATCGTGTCAGTTGTATCAAGTTACAAGAAAATGCACTGCGATATATGTCTAGTTACTCTTTGTAACAAATACTACGTGCTCCATTGACAAGGGTACTCCAGAAAACTCTTAATATAGACGAGCGTGTCTTGGCAATTAGGAGTTGAGAAAAAACCGAAAAGTGAAGGTGGGGACACCAGCTTGAGGACTTACTGTACAATAATACCCTTTGCCCCATCAGATGGATGTGAACCATAGAACTGATTGTCATCAAAGCTGCCTGGTTCGCTTGTTTGAAGTGCTAGGCCATGCCTGGGGCGTGGGCAGTATAGTCTCAAGATATAGAGCCCAATCTTTTAATATAATCCTAAGCATTTCCTAGTCACTGGTGAACCCTACCTATCACGTTCCACGACATTTAACAAGGTAGTGCCAGCTATTTGGTAAATCCCAACTCTTCATCAGAGATCTATACTATATATGCCCCACCGGTAGTTCCACCGCCTTCCCTCTTCAGTAGCTCCCAAATTGAACCGGCAGTACTGATAAGCTATCGGCCGCTCTATTGCGACGCGCGACCATTCACCACTGCAGGGTGCCTCGATTGTTTGTCCCAAATCAACTCCTCCACAACGGCCCCTCGTTTACGTCTCACCTTTCCGATTGATCCCACTTGTTTTCCAGATTGTCCCAATACTCTCTGGCTACAAGCTTAACGTATCTGGGGCACCACCGCCCCGTGCAGCTCTCCCCACCGACATCTGGGAGCTGCTCGACACACTTCAACATGGCCGAAAGTGATTTCTCAGAAGATGCCAATGTGGTCGTCATTCCAGTAGACGATAGTCTCAGTGATGGCAAGAGAGAAACATGGCCCCTCAATGACCCCAAGCACAAATATCGTGCTGTTGACGACACCAAATGGAGAGAAGCTCTCGCCGAGATGTGGATCGAAGACACCGGTGCCAAAGAAGAGGGTAAGTTCAATGGCGACTATTCTGAATCTCTGAATCTCGGAGGAATCTGGGGGACAACCTTTGTTTTGGTCCTTTTAATTACTTCGCATCTTTCACCTTTCGTCTGGTAACTTCTTGGCTAACTTCTGTTGCTCCAATAAGGTGTCGCATACATACTTGAAAAGCTCCCCGAAGGGTATCGTATCTTCGACCGGCCTCGAGGAACAGATCATACCACTGTGAGATTCTTCTTCCGGCTCCTCACTTTCATTTCTTTGAGCTCACATCTTCCCAGCGTGATGCCTTTCTGTATGGTCATCCCAGCGGATCTTATTTCCAGTCACGAGCAACCTTCATCGTTCACTTTCGATGGTTAATGTCTGAAAGAGTTAGCCACTGCAAATGCAAACTTTGCATCAAACCACCAAAGCTTGCAAAACTTGCAAAACTTGCGAAACCTGCGAAACCTGCAAAAATACAGCCCGTGGCAGCATACCAAGCAGTCTCCTCTAGACTGTCAACGGGCGGATTTAAGCTACCACGGATCCGTGAGTTTTTCCCTTTTATGAATCATGCTACTGAATCTCTCTGCCTAGCGCCATCATGTCATCTCCTCCAGTTCAATAATCGATGATATAACGCCTTCTCTAACAACCACCACAGGTCGAACCAGAGCCGAACTCGCGGCAGGACTCAGCCCTGAAGAAGCCATGGCCCGTCGTGCGGCCCCTCCCAAGGATGCTGACAGGAACAGCTTCATTCTTGGGCCTAACGGCGCAGAGGGCCCTGATTATTGGAGAGCATGGATCATAGAGTTGAAGAACCAGTCCCCCATCCCATGGAAATCGAGGTAAACCAGCCTCTCAACAAGAACTGGGTGTTTGGCAAAGACCTGCTGGACAGCTGTTTTCTCCAACTCGGTCTAGATGCCACTTTCACACCTCGCAAGGGTGAGACCGTCCTCTGGACACGGGAAATGGACGGGACACTGGAATGGAACCGGGGTACGCGAACTTACCAAGTCCTCGGGTATGATGGTACATGGAAGGGTACACCCCAGTGGCAAGCTGGAATTATCACCCAAACCCCTGTCTCTGACGACAAGGTGATCTACCCGGCAGACATCCGTGACTTAACTTCCGAGGACGGCCTCGCCAACGTGACCAACACCGGTTTCCGTGTCGAGTGTCTTCCCGACCCAATCGCCGATGACAAGAGCTTCTCAAAGCATGCAAGCTATGTCCCCTTGAAATGCATCAAGCCAATGAATTCCTGGGAAATCTTCCTAGACAAGGTCCCGCGCGAGAAGTGGCACCCGACAGTGGAATTCGCTCTCACAACCACTAGTTCCTTTAGTTTGCTGCATCACCAGTGGTTCCGAGGCACCTGGCCAAACGCTCGCGTCCATTCGAAAGGAGTTTGGGTGGGCCACGAACTGCTCGCTGTTAAAGATACGATCCGACTCAAGCCTTTCCGGTTGACAATCGAAGACCTAGAGGACCACGACAAAGCCAACACGGCCTCCCGCAAAGTCACCGATGTGATGACTATCAAGGACATATGGCTTGAATGGACAGATTGCATCGACGACCCAGACAGAGAAGCCTATGCAAAGAAGGCCACAGTCTGGATTCAGGGCCAAGTCTACACTCTAGACAAGGACCGTCTGAATCGCACCAGTCTATTCGGATACAACCCCCTGGAGAAACTCACCGACCACGAGGTGGACTCTGCATTCAACCAAGTGGGTATGTCGGAATACGGCGACTGGTACCGCATGAACGGCGGCAAGACCTGCCAGATCACCCCTGGCTCAGTTCTAGGTCGTTGCTATGAGCCCGTGCCAACCAAGCTCCACTTCGGATCTTTCGACCTAGACTATGATCTCCAAAGCGTTCTCAAGGCCCGCCGGTACAGCTCACAGGTGGACAACCGCATTCCCGACGGCCATATCTGGTTCTTTGGGGATAACCGCGTGGAGACGCTTGGCCTGGCCGAGCTGAACGGAATCAAAGTCGGACCTGCGGCCGAACTGCACCAGCAACCTCATAGATGGGTATCAATCCTGAAGATAAACGAGGGCATACACAGCCCACGCGATGTCCTGATGGCTGATCTCGGCGAGACTGGCAAGAAGAGAGGACGACCACCTAAGACCTTCGAGGACATTGGCAAAACCAGTCGTTTGGTTAGTAGCGGGTTAGGCCTGCAGCCCGATTCCTCTGTTGAGGACGAAGATGGCGAACTCGAATCCAACAGCGAAGAAGGGCTCAATAAGGAAGAGCTGACCAGATCGATTCCATACAAAACCATCCCGTCATCTGAATCGGACGATGATAAGATCGAGTCTGGTTTCGCAGCGGGTATTCAGGTAGTCATCGATGAGGATAATGATGAAGATTACACTGACGAGTAAGGGTGTGGAGTGGGTACTGTTCGGCCTCTGGGATTCTGGCCAAGTGTTGGGATCCTATGAGGCTGGCGGGCAGTGAAAAACAATTTCCATGAGAGAACCTGACGAGTAATGACATGTACACTACGATCTTCGCGAGGCAGATAGCTTGACCTCGATGAACCAAAACGCTTTACCTTAATTCTTCCGCCTGCGGAGTCTGTGTAATAGAACCAAAAGTCACTGTAGCAGTATCAACTCTTCATTTAGTAAAAGCTTTGACTGTCGGAAATCCTGCCCGGTAGAAAACTTCGGACACAATTGCTGATGGCGTATATAGAAGGCTACTAGTAGCTTCAGATCCATGGTAGACGAAACAGTTTATATCCAGTTGTACTATATAAGACTTAGAAAGTACATAAACAAGCATCGGCAGTCCTAGCAACCCCAAGTCACAACTCAATAAGTCTTCTGCACAACACCCCTCGCAAACTCCGCAAAAGTAACACCATCATCCACCTCCTCACCAAGATTTGGCTGCGTAAACACAGCCAAAGTATTCCTAGCAATCCGCCCAGTCCCCGTCTTCGCCCCCTTCACAAAATGCGGCACGGCCCGAAACTTCCCCTTGGTAATAATCTGCAATGCCTCACCCGTCTGGAAAGCAAGACAATCCTTAGGAATATTGACCTTAACAATCTGACCCGTTCGCGAACGAATATACAGTCCCGCCGCAGGATCCGGCGACGAGGGCAATTCAGGAAGAACATCTCCAACTGATGAAGGTAGAGACGGAGGCGAAGCTTCTTCATCGAGAAACATGGCCGAAGTAAGACCGGTCAAACAGCCATGATCAACATGCGTAGCGCACCAGTCATCATCGTTAGCTGCTTCGTCTGCCTCGCCCTCGCCCGAAGGAAAATAATGCAACAATCTCGCCTTGGTAGTCAAACTCCCCTCCACAACCCTCTTCAAATACCCCCTGGAATAACCCTGAATCTCCGACTCCGCAAACCGATCACAAGCCCCCGCCACCAGAGCCGCAGTATCAATAATCAACGAGCAAAGCTCCTGCACCGAGCTGCGAAAACCGGGCAATTTCCCGCTATCGGGCCAGATGTTTGGCGCCGTGTATTGTGGGAAATCGGGGAATCCGTCGGCGGGGGCGTTTTGCAGATTTGGATCTTGGTAGAAGGCGCAGTTTATGTAGTATGAGCCCTTGTGGGTGTCGTATTGGCCTGATTTGAGGGTTTCTTTGCCGCAGGACCAGCCGACGAGGTATTTTGATTCGGGGCTTTCGAGGGTTTCTGGGGTGTTTGTTAGTATTTTTGTGACATTTTACTTTCTTACTTGATGTATTATTCTCCCTCTCTTCTTTTGGGGTTGGATTGGGGTTGGTTGGGTCAGGACTGTACCTAGTTCGGCGGCTGGGAGAGCTGCGAGATACGATGAATTGGAGAGGACTTGGGCGCGGAGTTTAATGAACTTTTCTGGCAAGTCCTTTACGATCATGATTCCCAGGGATGACGGGCCAAAGGCCTCGGTGAGGGTGTCGAATGAGACGGTGCCTGTAATGTGTGGTTAGCTGTGGTTCGCAGTATCTGGGTGATTGGGATGGGATTTAGATCCAACCATTTTCGAGATCTCTGAGGCTGACGGTGACTGCCTGGGCCACGGGTGCTTGAGTGACACTCATTGTGCTGGCTATACTGGGGTGCTGTGAGAATTCCTCGATGGGTTGATGTTTTCTGTAGGATCTTTCCAGTTTCCCCGCTTAAACCGATAAGACGCTTAGCGGCGGCTGAGGTTACAGTCAGTTACAGTTGCTGCAGTGCTAGGCTAGGCTAGTGCGGAGTAAAGATATCAGGTGAAATGTGAAGATGGTCATTGGCTATTAGAGATATTGATATTGTACAGGGGTATTAATTGGAAACAGGAACATGGAACATGGGGCATCTACTCCGTACATCGCACATCGCACATCGCACACAACAGCCTCCATTTACTCAGTGCGACGGCTAACAGCACGGAGAGTGCCAAATGGCAACACATCAGCGATACGCTTGGCTCCTGTGAAAAGCATGGCCAGTCGGTCAATGCCACATCCCCAGCCACCGGTGGAAGGGAGTCCCCATTCCAGGGCTTCGAGGTAATTCTCATCCACCTCGCCCGGTTCTCCGACGGCCTTGCCGAAGCGCAGCTGGTCCTCGAATTTGCGGCGTTGTTCGAAGGGCGAGTTCTCCTCTTCGTAGGTATTTACAACTTCCTTCCCTTCGATGAAGAGTTCACCGCGTGCGGCGACGATTTGCTTTGTAACGGGGTGTGTGAAGGATTTTGAGAGCGGGGAGAGACATTCTGGCGGATTGATGATGAAGGTTGGATCGATGCAGTCGGTTTCGACGTAGATGCTGCACAGTTCGTCGAGGAGGCGAGGGAGATTGGCGTTTTCGGGTAAGGGGAGGGAAAGGTCGTGGAAAAGAGTGCGGATCTCGTCGAGGGCAGAGGGGGAGGTGAGGTCGGGGAGTTTCCGCTGTATACGTTCTTCGATGCCACCGATGAAGTCGATGCGGCGGAATGGCGTGGCGAAGTTGGCAGTCGTTGGGTTAAGCGTGCCATCTTCGTTGAGGGCTTTAATATGGGATGCCATTCCCGACAAAAGGTCCTCGGTGGTGCGCATCAAGTCCTCCAGGTTGGCGTAGGCCTGGTAGAATTCGCAAGTCGTGAACTCGGGATTGTGTGTCTTGTCAATGCCTGTCATACGTTAGCAATCTATATCTTCATTTGCATGCATGCATGCATGCATGCATTTTCTTCGATTTCTCCCCTCTGTGCATACCTTCATTGCGAAAAGATGGGCCAATCTCAAAGACCTTGTCGAATCCTCCCACGACCAACCGCTTCAGCCACAGCTCCGGCGCAATTCGCAAGGACAGCTCACGATCCGGGAACTCTGTGGCCGAAGTTGAGAATGGTCGGGCAATAGCACCACCGGCCTCAGCCCCGATGATAGGGGTATTGACCTCCATAAACGACCGGTCCACGAAAAACTGGCGCAGGTATTGTGTCAAGGACGACCGCGCACGAATGATCTGTGCCACCGATGGATCGGCCAAGAACTGAACATGGCGAGGATAGGGCGAAGTCTCGTGGGAACTGTCACGAAGAGGGATATCGTGTAGACATGGCGCGAGTAACGTAGGAAGCTCCGTCGCATCGACGGTGAGCTCGCCTCGTCCAGTGCGATGTGGTTTACCAGTAATAGCTGGAAGGAATTAGTACAAAAGACCTCATAATTTATCCACGGATATAACGGATGGGAAAAATGGGCTGTCATACAAAAGGCATCGCCGCGACGAAGCAGACGATATAACTTCTTAAACTGCTCGGGAGAGACGCCTTCAAGCTGGCGCTTGTTGCACATCACTTGAATCTTATGACCATCTTGCACGATATCGAAAAAGATCAATTTGCTCCCGGCCAGTCTATAGGTACGAATCCTACCTAAGCTAATCTAAGTATACAATACGGAAGATGGACGCAAAGGTCCTAGAAGCTGGGGTGACCTACCAGAGACCACCACCGGCTCCTCTACTGATTCATTGTTTCCCAGGTGGGCATACCGTGTGCGGAACTCGCCGCAGCTCACGGTGCGCGCATCTGTCACCAGGCGCGGATATGGGTCACTGCTGACCTGAGAGATCTCTTGCACGCGCTCCTGGAAGGCCCTCTCCGGCGATGCAGAGGCAGTACTGCGGGCAGACTGGTGGGTTAGTCGGGTTGTTCCTGTTGTTGTGTTGATAGTTGCAATCCGTAACGGGGACTGGATTCGATCTGGCAATGCTGTACTGAGGACAATGTTAGCAGTGTCCAGGTGGCAATTCAAAATGTAATAAACAGAGCAAGAATTTTGAAAATTGGTCAGATTTAAAGTCCGTTGCGTTCATCTGTCCGAAGACATCAACTGCAGCGGTTCTGAAGCAGGTGGGAGAAATCATCATAATAAAAAAGGAAACAAGAAATAAAACAAAACAAGGCCGAAGCCAACGACAGCAATGTCTTACCTGTTCCGACTCAAGCCCTTCAAGCTTCGAAACAAAACTCGAGGGCGGATTGAATGCATCGCGAAAAGTGCAGTGCAATTGCAATTGGGGGGAGAAAAGAAAAGGAAGTTGGCAAAGTCGGAAGTGCAGAAAAAATATGTTCTCAAAGGCGGAGAGAGCCCTTTCTGCGGTGTGGAGCCTCCCAAGCTGCGCGACCTCAAGACTTCCGGTCCGCATCCAACTTGACCACCCCCATCCATCTCATCCATCCATCCTACGTGAGTTGACTTCCTTCCCCAGCGCCCATCACGAAAGTCTCCCTCTTCTAATTCATCAATCATGGCCAGCTTAACCTCCAACCAACACCACCCTCCACATATTCATAATGTCGTTCCTTTTCGGCGGCCAGCCCAAGATGTCCTCGGAGCAGAAGATCGCTGCTGCTGAGACTGAGGTTGAGATGATCTCTGACATGTTCAGCCGGTGCGTATCTCACTCATACAATTGACATGGATGATTCTTTCCCCCAACTCTGTCGCTGGACTAACCCCCGCGCTAGTCTCTCCGAGTCCTGCTCCAAGAAGTGCATTCCCGCCGACTACCGCGAAGGCGACCTCAACAAGGGCGAGTCCGTCTGCCTCGACCGCTGTGTTTCCAAGTTCTTCGACGTCAACATCAAGGTCAGCGAGAAGATGCAAGGCGAGGCCGCCGCCAACGCCCAGCAGGGTGGTGGTGGTGGCATGGGCTTCGGCAGCATGTAAAGTGCTGAAGCTGAAGTCGCGACACACAACAACCCTGAGGAAAGAAAGACAATTCGGTCAATTAGTGTATAGAGATTGATCGCGGAGCTCTTTTTTTCTTTTTTATTTGTTTTTGATGAACCTGATTCACCTCTTCAGGTTGGAAGCTCAGGATGACCAGAAAGAGTCTGTTTGATGATGGACACGTTTATACCGTCACATTCGAGGTGAAGGACCACCGATCTAAGGTCTATGTACAATAGGATAAAAATAGGGAAAACATGGAGAAATGTACCAAAAATAACAAACAAAAAGAAAAGGGCAAAGTAGCTATACTAGTATCGTACAAGTGTGTCCTCGTAACAGTCGCCTCAAGGTGTCGGGAATCCGAATGACCGCCGCACCCACGCCATCCAGGAAATGCTGCTCTGCTCTTCCTCGCCTTGGAGGAGCCCTTTGACCCGCGTCTCCACGTTGAAAATGTGTCGTTCAAAATCAGTCAATCCCTCTTCCATGTCCTCGACCTTGGACTCCAGAACGTGAAGCTCATAATCAAGTTTCGCACCCAGGAGCTCCACACGCTTGACGCTGTCCGTGAGCTGGGAATGCTCATCCGTAAGAAGGTCACTAGATCTCTCACGAAGTCGCTGATAATCGCCGAAGCGTTCAAAATAGACCGTGTTGAGTTCTTCGTAGCGGTCAGAGAGTATTTGGTTAAGCCCGTCCACAGAATCGACTTGGCGCTCGACCCAGGGAACACAGTGTTCACTTAATTCGAGAATTCGAGAGCTGAAGATTCGCGCATCAGAAGCCAATATGTCTTCTTGGGCAATGGCTTCCTCTAAAGTTGCGTTATCCTTGGCCTGTGGTTGGCCGACGAGTGGTTCCCAGGTCAACACGACTTCTTCAACATTGCTGAAAGATAAATGCCGTGGGCATCGACCATCGTCCCGATCCGCGTCTCCATCGGGGTTGCGGAGCTCTTTACAGCTCTGGGGCCGCCGTAGAGCCATCATGGCCAGACCAGCAGCGGATTCATCGAGGCCTCGTTCTCGTTCACTTGATGCTGCAGTTGAGTGGGTTCGCGTTCGTTCGATATCAGATTCGTCGTCTATACTTCGAATAGGCTGCAGCTCTGGGACTTCATCGACTTCTTGAGTCTTTACATCTTCCTCGTTGGCTTGGGGAGGGGAGTCGACATGGATTTCTGGAGGTTTCGCATCGGAACTTGTATCGGGAGCCTGGGAGGACGACTCCTCTTCATTTTGGGTTGCCGACTCGTCAATTTTTGTCTCTGGCAACAGGTCAGACTTAATTCTCCTGGGCATATGTCTCTCTGTATCGCTGTCGAGAGATGGTCGATACGCGATATCATGGTGTACATCGATGCCTTCACGAGAATGTTTGTGATGGGAACGGATGCCGACTGCATCTTTGAACCGACCGAGACCAGCTCGAGCGTCGGATACTCGTCCACTGACACCCTTTTTTCGATGCTCCTTTTCTTCTATAGTCAAGGATTCAGGTGTTTTCCACTGCCGGTCCAGTCCAGATGCAACTCGCTCGGCATGCAAATCTTCCGTCGAGTGCCTTTTCCGACTGGCCCAGACGTAGCCACCTTGGTCGTCTTTGGTAAACATCATCTCCGAGCCCGGGGCATTCGTAAACTCAGTATCGGTGCCACTCTTGCGGGCTTTTCCAAGCCAAAGCCACTTGGCCCTTGATCCGTAAACACACTGTACAAAGTAATCAAGGTCCAGAGTTTCGACATCGGCAATGCCACCTTTCTCTCGCCCGCGAACCATTCCCATGACCATCTCGCCACCCTGGCCGCCGAGTTCAGTCATGGTAGATTTGATCGCATCGCTCCACCCTTCAGAGTTGGCTGCTTTGGCCGTGACACGATGGAGCCGATCTAGAGTCCGCCGGTCAAGTCTTCGCGAGCGGTTCATTTTCTGCGACTTTTGGAATCCACCAATTCCTCTCTTCAAATTATCGATATCAAAAGCATCCTTTCCAACGGGTGCTCCACAAGCGTGAAGTCGGTTTCGCGCACCCAACAACGTTCCTAGCAGGGCTGCCACACTAGTCGGTCCCAGAACTCCATCACTGGGTTCGACATTGTACAACTCTGTACCGATATCCGCCCACCAATTTTCGATCGCCTTTTCAGTAACATCACACAGCAAGCCATCCACATATTCAGGAGCTAATTTGTCAAACACCATCAATGCAATCTGACACTGCTTGACCATCTCAATAACGGCAGTTTCAGCCGGCACGCGCTCACTCGCACGATAAAGCTGGTAAAACTTGGCTTCAGTCGCAGCCAACGGCCGCTGTAGCTTCAAGCCCGCGCGACCAGCACAACCAAGCCGTTTCAAATTCTCATTCACAATGAAATCATTCCGGTGTTTCCTGATATCACCTTCCGGAACCGGGAGAACCATCAGTGAGGACGGGAATGAGCCCAAATCCGTCACCATGATCGTACCCAGCGGCGTTTCCTTCGACCGAGCATGGTATTTCTTCATCGCGTCGAAATACATCTGCAAACGAGGTGACCATGTCGACTCATCTGTTGGAACACTCAACACGCCCGCCACAACTCTATGCGACGATTCGCCGGTATATGTCGATATCACAAAGGTGGGATGGCTCCGTGAACAGGCCCAATTTTCAACGATGTAGATCTCGTACCCCTGGAGGAATTCTCGTCGATGTAGGACGTCTGTAGATGGATCTTCTTCGAGGTATCGCAGGGCGACTGGGTCGGTGAAGACGATGCGTTGGTGACCGCGTGGTAGTCGCTCAGGGACGGGGTCGTTCGTATTGGAGGCGGGGCTGCTTTTGATGGCGTCGGGTGATTTACCAGCATCAGCCGGCGCAGCCTGTGCGGCGGACTGCATGGCGGCGGCAGTGGCAGCAGCTTATCGAAATGTGTTATGTGACACAGCTGGAGAGAAATGAAAAGTTGCTTTGAGCAAGGACCATTTCAAGACACGCAATGTTCCCACACCTCTGTCGTCAGGGAGGCGCTGACCTTCCTTGTATCCTCCTGGTCGATCGCTCATGTAGGAACCACGGTGACATGTCCTGGGAATGACTGTCGCTGCATCCCAGCGGTTGCGGAGGTAGGTAGGGGGAAGTAGTACGAGGAGTAGTAGTAGGAGTAGGTCGTGAAGCTCCTGGGAGGTTCGTGCTTGGAGGCCCCGAAGGCTGCAGAATTACCGACGTCACGACGGCGGGCGGTGGAGGATCGACATATCAGGTACGGAGAAGGGTTACTGAACAGGGGTCTGCAAGGGACACAGGGACTGTCACTAAGCAACAATAGGGGTCGCAGGGTGGCTCTCATGGGCGTCGACGCGCTACAGGAGGCACTCGTAGGATAGCTACTGGTTCTCGCGAATATCTCCAAGTGGGCGCAGGGACAGAGCTCCAGTGGATCAATTCAACTAGCTAGTCCTAGGATGTTTATGATTACGCGTCTGTCTCGATAGGATATTCTCTTCTCTACAGGCTACCAGCATGGGTAGCACAGTAATGAAAAGAAGACCATGCGGTACATCGTGGATGATCATCCAGAGCACCAGCAAAAAGCACGAAGGCCGAAGCCAAGGCACTTGAAGGCAACTTGTTTTTTTCAAAAATTCCTTGTCGACCCTAGGGCCAGCAAGAGTGGTCACGTAGGTAGTTTTCAACTAGCAAAAACACGATCTCGGATTTCTCCTCACTGATACGCGTCAAACCCGTGCACTAGGATAAAGAAGAAAAGAAAAAGAAGCGGAAGAGCGGAGGGCGGGAAGATTTATTTATACGGCCCGGTGACTCACGCTAGCCGTAAGCGAGGGTGGGGTCTAGCTAATCAGAGAGCAGCATTAGAGGGACTAGTCCCTTCTAGGAAAGGCCTACCCAGGAGCAGGAGCTCCTCTATATTAGGGTCTGTACGAGTATCAGTCTGGGTAGTATAAGCATGAGTATGAGTATTCTACTGCTGACACTGAGTTGGTACTGACAGAATGCACTCCTCTAGCACCAGTACTATTATATAGTAGATGTGTCCGTATCTTTCCTCACCTCCATTCTACCCATTGTGAAATCCCCTTTGACCAAACCCGCCCTCACGTTGTCCGTTAATCACCAGTCACGTGTCATGGCGTAACAGCGGCGATCATCCGGAGTTCACGTTAACGTCCCGGTGACTTCGGCCCTCCATTCATTTGGTTCTCCCACCTCGATCACAGTCGCTATATTCATGTCGCTTTTTATGGATATACGGGGCTCTTCAAACAGCATCTAGACGATCCCCGCTCTCCACCCACATCTCTATGGCCCCCGATCTTGTTGGGCGGTAACCTCTTCGACTCCGCATTAGACCACCCGAGGCCGGCCCCTCCACTCACCATGGATCTCGTCCAGAAGGAACATGACCGACTATTGAAGAGGCTCAAGGCCTCGCATGGTCTCAAGAATGTCGAGTCCACGATCGATCTACTGCAGTCCGCTCGGGACACCATCGCTGCGGGTTCGTACAGCTATCCGGGTTATCCTTTGGTACTGCGGGGAAGAGCTAGCTGCAACGGATACCATGACCAGAACCATCGCTGACATCTTGCTTGTTCTATAGATCCGAACCAAGCCGCCGTTACTCTGGCCAAACTTCAGAACCCCGTGAAATCCTCATTCGACTCGATCAACGATAGTCTGAAAGAAACCCATGGTGGTCTCAATAAGTACACTAAGTCTCTGGATAAGGTACCTTCACATCCTACTGATCGTATTCCCCTCCAATCTTTGTATTCTCGTTAACCTCCCCTCTTCTCACAGCTGTTCAAAGATCGACCCCTCCCGAGTACCGAGCATGATGCACTCTCCAACCAAGAACACCTCATCAACCGTGCGATTGCGATGCACCTCCTCCGAGAAGGGCAGTTTTCAGTCGCGGCCACCTTCCTCTCCGAAATCGCAGACCAAAAGTCCACGATACAACAAGAATCCATTTCCCGCCCCAGCGAGAA